TCTCTCTTTCCTATCAAAGTTTGACCTAAAACCATAAACTTAAAAAATAAAAAAATGGTTCAAATCCTTGGCATGATACAGGGGAGTTTATCCTAGAATAATGCCTACAAACGTTGATAAAAGAGATACTGCAAGTTTTCGTAAACGTGTACTTACCTCACGGAGAGATAAGACGTGTAAAAGGAGAAGAGAGAGTTCACATAAATCTACTGAAAGTTTCCGTGACGGTTCAATTAGAGAGTTCACATAAATCTACTGAAACTTTCCGTGACGGTTCAATTCTTTAAACCCCCTAAATTGATAAAAAGGCACTGCCCGGATTTGAACCGGGGATCTCCTGTTTACTAGACAGGCGCTTTACCAACTAAGCCACAGCGCCGCACACGCACAATGTAAGTTTTTTTTTTGGTCTCGAAATTTGAAAATTTGACATTTTGCTCCGTTGGGGGGGGGGTAAGGTCAGCTTTTTTAGGTCAACCATGGGAATTTGTTTTTTTTTTTTTTTTTTTTAAATTAAATTAAAAAAACAAAAAAAATCCAAAAGGGGGAGGTTTTAGAGAAATTTAGGGGGGGGGTTTACACACAACAAATTACCAAATGGGGGGGGGGGGGGTTTTACCCCCCCAAACACCCCCCCCCCCCCCCCCTGTGTACGCGCCTGCGTACAATGCAATGCCACAAATAAATCTGAATTGATAAATAACGTTTAATTTTTTTTTAGAACTAAGGAATTCAATCTAAAGTCTCCGTCGTATCAATTTTTAAATCTCTCTTTCCTATCAAAGTTTGACCTAAAACCATGAACTTAAAACAACAAAAAATGGTTCAAATCCTTGGCATGATACAGGGGAGTTTATCCTAGAATAATGCCTACAAACGTTGATAAAAGAGATACTGCAAGTTTTCGTAAACGTGTACTTACCTCACGGAGAGATAAGACGTGTAAAAGGAGAAGAGAGAGTTCACATAAATCTACTGAAAGTTTCCGTGACGGTTCAATTAGAGAGTTCACATAAATCTACTGAAAGTTTCCGTGACGGTTCAATTAGAGAGTTCACATAAATCTACTGAAACTTTCCGTGACGGTTCAATTCTTTAAACCCCCTAAATTGATAAAAAGGCACTGCCCGGATTTGAACCGGGGATCTCCTGTTTACTAGACAGGCGCTTTACCAACTAAGCCACAGCGCCGCACACGCACAATGTAAGTTCTTTATCAAACTCTTTCCAGGTAACAATTTCGAACCAATATTCAATTCAATTTAATTCAATTCATTTTATTAAACCATTTAAAATCAAAAACAGTATACAAATCATGCGTGTATGAACATTATTGATACAGTGTAAATGGCCAGGGTGCCCCAGTATCAGTAGAGAGATATACATAGAATAAACATGAGATACAAACAAACTTAGTTTTTAAAATGACAAACATTAAACCATTAAGCACTAAACATACAGGTAAAGGGAAATATGAAAAGGCGAAATAAGAAAAACGTAGGGAGGAGAGATCAAATTACATGTTTATTTGGCATAGGTAGTTATTTTTGAACGTTTGAGTTTGGTTTTAAATGAAGTAACATTAGTGCTGGAGATTACATCAGAAGGGAGGGAATTCCATATTCGAGGACCAGCAGATTTAAATGCAATAAGAGTTTATTGATTAAGTGCTAATGGAATTTGAGTGGGAACGGGTATCATTTATTAATGGTAATCTTTATTACACTGAAATAGATTTATTATATTATAAATTATGTTTCACGTAATATATCAAAAAATTGTCAATGTGTTTAATCTTGCAATTATTGGGCGTGACGGAGCTAAGTAAGGGGAATTCGAACATAACTATGCGTATAAGGCCTTTTTTTTTTTGCAGTATTTTACTGAAAAAACAAAAGGGGAAATCTTGATTCGTGTATTTTCTTTTTTTACATGATGACAGCCTCCAGTGGAGACGCCCAGTCAATAATTGCTACAAATTAAATCCTGTCATTTTGTCTCCTCAAAGGAGTTTAAGAGAAACCGCGAGGGCACAATGCATTTGCTTTGGTTTGAGGATATGAGAACACATGAAACGACGATCGCGGTATAGATTGTTTCTAGTACCGCTGCCCTACCGCAGCCCAAATCTCCCACACCCAAAACCGACTGCAACCAATCGGTTTAAGACCAGGGGTGTTTCACAAAGATCCTAAGTCGAACTTAACTCTAAGTTAGACTTAAGCATTATGGAGAGCCATTTGTAGCCTTAAAATAAAATATATTAAAAAGCGAAAATTCAAGTATTTTAGACTTTTATATAAATTCCACATCAAGAACATGAAATCCCCATAGGTAATAGAAAATAGCAATGATTTGAATCAACATGTTATGCCTTTTAAAACTTTTTTCTAAAATCTTTACAAAATATTTGTATAGATGCAAAGAGCTTTCCATAATTGTCAAGTCCAACTTAGGATCTGAAACACCCCCCATGCAGGTTTCTTCGTCTATTTCTAGTTTGCATGATTACTGATTAGTACTTATGTGTTTAACTTATTCACACAGGTAACCTTCAATGTGAACCCCCCCCCCCCCCCCCACCCCCAGTGATATTTAGGGCACACGTATGCATGTTCCTCCTTTTGAAAACACCCCCGAAGTCCGGTGTGTAAAGTCAATACGGGCCGGATTTTTGTGTACTACGAGCCGGACTTTGGTGCGTGAAAAGTACCCCTTCACCGGACATTTTGGGAACACGCATGCGGTACAGTATCTACTCTTTTGGTGGTTGCATGCACGTACACGAATAAGAAGATTTCTCTTTCAACCCCTCGTTCTGACTTAGCATGATGGGCCGGGGTCAAAGGGTCATATTCAAGTGTGGTAGAAAAGACGAGGGTCAGTTTTAATTTCAATACTCAAATCATTATTAAAGTCAACGTTTTACTTGGCGTTTAGCTTGGTGAAGTAGATCACATTTAGGATTGTACTTTGTACGCAAACTTTCAGTCATGAAACTTTTAAGTTTTAGGATGTGAAATATAGCCGGTCCAACTATGCGCATCTAGTCTGCAAGCACAAACCCTGGTCAGTCGTAAAAGTGAGTCTGCATTATAAGACTACCATAGGCCATGTACTATAGCTGCTCCTGACACAACCAGTAGGTAGCTGGGCTAGAATTCTCCCAAGGCACAATGATTTTTAGATTAAGTGTCAAATTAGGGTCTGTGCCTGCAGACTAATGCGCATCCGTCATTTACTTTCGTAAATGTAATCACATTTAATGCATACGTCTTTCTGAAGTGCCTCGATCGTTACACGTTACTAACGTTGACTTGTACATGTAGTATCTTACTATGACTCAAGAAAATAAACGGTGGTTTTGTTTACACTCTGAAGCTGTTGAACATTATATATTCAGGTTTTCTCTCGCGCTGTACGTCAGCTAAATGAGATTAGTTTCATCTCTCCTTGTGGTTTTCCTACCACGAGATGGCGCTGCACTTATTTAGTCAGAATGTAAATTAAATACATTACATGGTGTTAGGTATAGGGCAAGATGTCAAAGTATGCAATTTGTATTACATTTTTCTATACCGGTATAAATAATCCATTCAATACTTGTACTTTCTCTCTTTCTCTCGTTCTCACTTCTTCACAACTAATAAATAATTATAATATATTTCGATAGTCAAAATGAAGATTAACTACATTACATGTCATGGTGTTAGGTAGGGCAAGACATTTTGTCCAACTTTAAGGTACTTTGTCCCATTTGCAGGCCCGAAAAATGAAAAGTGTAAATTTCAACGGCATTTTAAAGATACTAATAAAGAACTTCCCTCGATATGAAAGGCCTTCAAAATGTCTCGTTTAGTAGGAAAATAAAAAGCATTAGTTGTTGAATCGTCTTGAGTGATTGCAATCAATTTAGTAATAGTCCGATTTTCAGACCCTTGTACCGAATGGTCGTACGTTTTTCTCCTATGCAAAGATTCAATAAATTTAATTTTGGCCATTTAAAGAAGTAGGTTATTGATGTAGACAAATTCTAATGTACCTTTACACTTTTACAGATAATTTTAAGTATATTATCACCAAAGAAAAAAAGGGTCAGTCAAATACTCAATATTGTCTGACAGTGAAGTCCAGAAAGTAAACGGGTTTCCTTGCATAAATTGAATAATAGGACTCTGCCGTTTAAATTTCACAGATAGGACAACGCGACATATTCATAATTCCTGCAAAGTTCTACAGAATTTGATGTTGATTGCAAATGGGACATAGTATCTTTAATATCAACCAAAAGTATGCAGTTTGCATTACATTTTTCTATACCAGTAATCCATTCAATACATACTGTACTTCTTCTCTCTCTCTCCTCTCTCCCTTTCGTTCTCACTTTTTCACAACTAATACATTATTATATTATACTTCGTTAGTCAAAATGCAAATTAGACACATTACATGGTGCTAAGTAGGGCGAGACACTATGAACATCACGGACAAAGAAAGCGGACAAAATATACAGTTTCTCAGGTACACAAAGGAACATCCCTTCACTGCTATTATGTAAATAGGTGAATATGCATGTGGCACCTGTTCCACACATGTTTACATAATAGCAGTGAAGGGATGTTCCTTTGTCTACCTGAGGAACTGTATATTTTGTCTGCTTTCTTTGTCATTCATATTCATAGTGACATGTTTGTCCTACTTCATATCAACCAAAATATGCAATTTGCATTACATTTTTCTATACCGGTAATAATCCATCCGATACATACTGTACTTTTTCTCTCTCGTTTTCCCCCAACCTCAAAGCACAAGGGGGGGGGGGGGGGGAGAATATGACATCACTTGAAGACATTCGGTGTGAGAATCAAAAGCTCACTATTCCGGTGGTTCAGACCTACTACATTCCTGCCTTGCCTTGTCTCAAATCTTTGGTCCACATAAACAACATTCCACGCTCTGCCTGCCACTCATCCACACCATTTAAGCAAGTCTAAAAACAATTTCTAAGGTTGGTAAATATCTGGTGTTTATTTCTGTAGCATTCTTCTTCTTCTTTCCCACGATGACATGACATGGAATGAAACATTCAACTTTATTCGACTTCGTACCTTGACAATGAAGCCAAACCGTCTCTGAGGCTCAAATCAAAAAGGGGAGGGTATGTTAGGTTGGAGTCGCAGACAGACAGACAGACCAATGTCTGATTTGATTTCAACTCAATAAACATGGCAAATTGATAACTATGAAATGAGTCAAATCCTTTGTGGGATTGCAGTAAATATTCAGAATACATTAAATAGTCACATTACATATCTAATATAAATGCACGGCATACATGAACTCTGCCCAAGAAGACTTGACTATCCTAAGGATTTTAGGTCAATGGTGTAATAGGCTTACTGGCCCATTGGCATGCATCATGCATGCTTACATGTATGAACTGATAAAAGTTATCTAAAATATTGATCATTTTCATAAAGAAATACTTTTCAAAAAATGGTAGTTTGTAGCAAATGCCTTTTTCTTCTGCATTTGTGCTTTTCTTTCCAGAGCAAATATTGCAGTTATTAAATAAGTTAAACATCAATTGTATTTTAACCCTGATTCATATACTATACCATGTGTATTTTCACTTTGGAAAAACATAGCATCACATCTGGTAATTTCTTAATATACTTAATATATATATCCAACGAAAATACCTAGACTCATGGCACATATTTATTTGTTTAATCACAAAAAGAACAAATAGATCAAACAAACTAGAAGTATAGATTTGATTATTCATTCACAGAAAGTGATTTTCAATTTGACGATCTTACAGCATCACTACAATTCTTCTGGTCTGAAATGTCCTTTGATACATTATTTTCTACATGAAATTGAAAACGGAGTAATTCTTAATAAAATTCCATAAATCCTGATTGTCAACGAATGCTTCTGCTAAAGAGGGTTGGTATAGCACTGAAAACAAGGGATTGTTGTTTAAGCTGGGGGTAAAGGAAAATCTGAGAATAACATCTGCTCTTCGAAATGCCATGAAAATAAAAGATTGTTGCCCTGCAGCTGCCTTTACATCTTGTCGAGGTACTTTTCGAGATGGGGAACTTCTTCACTGAGAGCCTTGCGTTTCCTGATGCCAGTCACAATTATGCCGGACTTGGTAGTGGGGTCAATGGGATCATCGCCCATCACTTGCCAATGGTCAAACACGCACTGTGGGAAGGCTTGACCACCGGTGTTGGAGCGAAGATCAGCAGTGAACCCTATTAAAACAAATCACAATCACACATGCACCATCATCATTCATGCATACTTAGTTGTGTATTTAAATTAGATGAATGCAACTACAATTCCCATATAAACCCCCTCCTTCATTCAATCAATTGATGAATCCTTGACCCCTTAAATTAAAGGCCAACAAAATGACAAGTTTAAATTCCAACAGCATTTCAAAGATAATACTCATTTAGAACTTCCCTCAAAACAAAAGGGCTTGAAAATATCTTTTAGTGGGAAAATAACAAGCATTAGTTGTGAAATCGACTTTAGTGATTGCAATAATGGCCATTACAAGAAGTGGGTTATTGATGTAAACAAATGCTCATGTACTTTTGCAGCCCATTTTATGTATGTTATTACCAAAGAAGAAAAAAAGGTCAGTCAATCACTGAATAGTGTATGACAGAAAAGTATAGAAAGTAAACAGGTTTCCTTGCATAATTTGAATAATAGGACACTGCAAACTTTTAAATTTCACAGATAGGACATAAATGACATAGTCATAATTCCTGCAAAGTTCTACAAAATTTAAAGTTGGCTGCAAATGGGACATAGTACAATTAACCCTTTCTAACCTGGGCTATTTTGAAACTGCATAGCCCAAGGGGGGATTCTAAGCCGCCCCCCCCCCCCCCCCCAAGTAGTAGATCATTCCAGTATTTTGAGCATACATATGTTGATGTTTTTTTAATGTTATGTGAACGCAATACATCGTGTAATGTCATAACTCATATTCATTCTTATTTTGACATCATCCAGAGTTCATATAGCCCTAATAATAATTATGTAATATGTATCAGAATTGTCTCATTATACCAAATAAGCATTGTCCTTTTAAAAGATTTTACCTTCATCCTATATAAACGCAAACATTGAAATTGATATGAATTCATTTAATTATGGAATCAATTCCTTTTGAATCACCATCTTGCTTTTTTGAATGTTTCGTTCAAAGTGGCATAATCGCAGCCTGATACATGATCATGGAGGATTTTATACTTACCAAAGGACTCATTGACTGGCAAATAGGCCTTGACAAAGAACATGGGAGTTCCTATCTTTTGATTCTCTTCAAAGACATGGCCACGACGTCTATTCAGAACTCCATAGATTCCACCAACTGCACTCTCGGGACACTAAAGACAAACAAATATTGAACAGTCATTCCCTTAAAAGTGAAGTAAGCATCGCACACATGACCATGTGTTTATTGTCTTGTAACCATTCTCTCTCATTGGTAGTCATTGGTGTTTTTTAGTATTATTTTTGTAGATTAAAAAAGAAGATGAATGTGACTTTGTCTCTTATATTCCTCTGCCTATATGTCCGTTCGCTAGCCCAGTTTGGTCAAAATCAGTTCAAATTTTATGGAGCTATTAACCCTGGGTGTGCCGGTTTCGAGGGTCTAGAGGTAGTTGTGGAAGCAGAAGGCCTTACACAAGACTATTAGCAAACTTCGGGAGAGGGAGGGAACAGATGGAAAGTAAAAAGTTTATCTAAAAAAGATCTAGATTACAACGCTTCTGTCTTCGAGGCATGATAACAGGCAAACTACCTCTGTGGGTATGCAATTAAGGTGTACCGTACAGCATGCCTACAGTTTTGCATCAAATCGCAGAGCTACATGTAGAGTGACGAGTGTATGTGCTGCACGTATTGCATGCGAGCACGGCGCAGCAAAAAAAGTTGCGACACAGTCCATTGCCCATTTCAGCACTGGAAGAGTTGTGGGGATAAACAGCTGTGGCACTTGCTGGACTGGTACAAATTGTTATGCAGGCAATTTCAGTCAAGAATTTTCAGTGGGGATGCCACAATCCTGTATTCATCATTCATTTTCTTACCAATTGCGAGATGTCCGGCTCTGCAAATTAAATGTCTGGTGAATCCTTATTCATCTAAAGCAAGGCATGAAAAAATGGCAACTCGCCCCCCCCCCCCCCCCCCCCCTCCTAATTTTAAACCAGATTTACATCGATTTCAGGGACTACCCACTTTTGGAAGAAAAACACAAGATTGACCAGCAGGGGCCCGTTTTACACAGCCTTTTTTTCAATGACAAATGACAAAAACCAAACAAAGTGACAAATCTGCTGACAACCAATCAGAAGCAAGGATTTCAGTAGCTTATAACAAAAACTGTCATTGTCATTAATGACAAGTTTTGTGAAATGCCCCCCAGTGAGGGCAGTCTGTCATGTAGAGAGACCGAAAGGCAAGAGGTCTGAGTTTACCTGGATCTCCACGAGATAGACAGGCTCCATGACCCTGGGCGTGGCAGTAAGTTGACATGCCAGTAAGCAACGACGGGTGGTTGGGATGATCTGCCCACCACCACGGTGTATGGCATCTGTATGAAGGGTCACATCATAGATGTTGTACCTTACACCACGCAAGTTCTCTTCAGAAAGCACACCCTGCAATAAAAGGATACAACACATTAAACAAAATTCACAGCCACATTACTTCTTTGACGCATCATGCAAACATCTTAAATTTTGAAGCAGATACAAGATCACAGAAGGTCAAACGAACTCTTCCTTTAACAAAAATTTAATACGAAGTGGATTCTATAGCCTTCAACACTTAGAGATTACCCCTCGATAAATTGAAGAAAACCTATGGCAGAAGATAGGTCATTTGTATACAGCTAGTATGAATAAAACCAACCCCAAGATTTCACACTGCATTCTATCGAGTATGAAGAAATAACATACCATTAAATTTGTGTAGTGCATAATTATATTAATCTATTTCTGTAAGTGTTTTGCATTACCAAAGTGGTTAACATAATATACATATTGAAGAAAATATAACACTACTGCATGGAGAGGTAAGTCTTCAAAGCTTTCCAAAATGTATTGAGAGAAGATACATTTCCAATAGAGTGGTGAAGTGTGAAGTCATCAAAAATCTATTTTGGGAATTTCTCAATTTTTTCTTCATTTTACGAAAGAGCATCAAAAATAATGTCCAAATGTTGAAAACCAATTGAATATGGTAAGTACGGGCTAAGATATGATCATCTGAATAAATAGATGTCCTAAAGGAACTCAGTGTTATATTGCTCTGGTTCATAACATTACGAGCCAGAGCAATATAACACTGAGTTCCTACAGAAAATCTTTTTATTCAGATGGTCATATCTCAGCCCATACTTAACCCTATTTAACCCGGGCTATTTTGAAACTGCATAGGGGGGGGGGGGGGGGGGGGGGGGGGGGGGGGGCTAGGCCCCCCCCCCCCCCCCCCCTCTTTGATCTAGGCCATGAAACGCCTGATCGTCACGAAAATTTGCATACATATCAAGAGAAGTGTATAGAATACAATGGTGATTTCAATTTTTTGAAAAATTCACTCATTTGCATATTTATGGTAATTTATGCAAATAAGGTCATAAAATTCACATTTTTGCCCATAAATCAGACATTCATATTTAAGCATTCTTTCTCACTACATATTTGTTAGACCATTTGGAATAATAATACAACACACAAAATTTAAAAACCAGGGTTATTCCTTATGTTATCTATTGTTTTGATAATTTCTTATGTATTTCTCTGTTTTTTTAACTTACGTATTATATTGTTTTTGTTGTTTTATTTCATTTCCAACTATAATTCAACTATTTTGACCCCAAAATAAACACCTAAACACCTATAAACAAGACCAAATAACTAATGTTTTATCTCTTTATTTGAAAAATGAGATTTCCATGTTTTGTACACAAATCACAAAAATGAGCAATTTTCGGGCTGACATGCAAAGACAAAACGACACGTGACTTTGTAATGGTAGGTCCGATTTTCGAAAAAATTTCTTTCAAAAGATGCGCAAGACTCTAAAGAAAAAAGTAAAACAAATTTCAGTGCAAGAATTTCTTGCGTTAAAAAATTATCGCGAAAAATTTAAGCCATTATTTTTTATGCTCTTTCGGAAAATAAAGAAAAATTAAGAAATTCCCAAAATAGATTTTTATGATGTCACAGCTTCGGTACTCTATATAACCTTCATCCCTCACCCTTCCCCCTCTGTCCCTTATCCTTCCTCCTCCTCCCAGGCTCCCCCTTGCCTCCTTCATGATCCTTCCATTGCTCTTTCCCTCGCTATTCTTCCCCTCACTGCTCTCCCAAGAATAGAACATTAAATGTGGTCAAGAGATAAAATGGCTTTCACTGACCTCCTTCGAAGCCCACTGGAATCCTGCAATGACGCTGTCTTTGATCTCGTTCAGGTACTGCACTCCCTTGGCACAGTCGACCAACAAGTTGGGACCGGTTCCCTCTGGCCCAAAGCACCAGATCTTACGGGATTCTTGGGCCTCAAAGTTATATTTGTCAATCAAATAACGGCTACGGAGTTTGAAATCTTGCTTGGAACTGACTTCTCCCTGTAAAGCAAATAATATTGGAAAAGGTAACATGTGATACAAAAAGAACTTTTTATTTGAGATTGGTTCCACTACATTCTGACTGTAACTACCATTAAAGGGCAATCCTACCCTCATAATATGATGATTTGTATGAAAGCAGAAAAATAACAGAAACAAATAGACCAATAGTAAGGAATTATGAATGCTTGAAATATGAGATCACTAAAAGTCTATGCGAATCTCAAATTGGTAGTTTGGTTAGTGGATTGTGACGTAGGACGAGGGTAACTCTACCATTTACCGTCTACAAAAATATCACCAATTTATGTTTTTTTGTTAGTTCCTTCTCCCTTGGTGTACTACTTAAAATATATTGTAGATTACATTACTATAGGTCCTCTAATAAGAATAGACCCTCCTGAGCCCTGTATCTAGGAAAAATATTAATTTTAGTCATTTGATACATTGGAATAGATGGGAAAGACACTACCGCTTAATCTAATTTGAAGTGCCCATACGTATAGTGATTACAACTTTTTAAAAATAATGACTTTCTTATATTAAGTCAGATTTAATTGAAACTTTCATCAGTTTGCTTCTCTAATTGTTCTGCTTTTGTTTAGAGTAGTTGTCTATTTGGGTTGGATTTCCCTTTCATATTACAGATTTCAGTCTTCATTCACATTTCCAAAAATATGACTAGTCGCTACTTACAATTAAAAAAGTATGCTCGTCAAATTCTAATGCATTGTACCATTATACATTACAGTCACTGGGCACTAGGCCAAAGTCGAGATGGTTTTCCTTTCAACCGGGGCCCCTAATGACTGATAAATTAATATGAGTGGTTTCCTTCTATAACATTTAGGTTACTTGTGCATTCACAATCATAATTGCAATTGGTAATTTATGATCGCAATCACACACAAAAAAACACTCGGGACATTCACTTTTTTTTAAAGCCAAATGGTCTCTTCAGGAAATCCCCATCTGTGAAAATCTTTAAATAAATACTGAAAGCACATCATTTCAATTAACTGAAAATCTAAGCATATCAGGAGCTCTTGTAGCGCAGTAGAATATCGTCGGTGGGGTGACAAAACCTTGTATCTCAAAAATCATGAATTTTCAGGAGAGCAAAAAAAATTCCTGTCTCAAAAAATTTAGTGCTGTGACACCGTCCTTTCTTTTTAAAACTGGAATATTTATCCAACTTTTAATGTCATTGTTGAAATACAGTAAAATAATTGTTTTTATATTTGAAAGTGAGTTACAAGGTTTTTGCTTTTATCTACATTGAGATACGAGTTTTTAGTTTTTATTCAAATTGAGATACAAGTTCTTACTTTCAACTCTGAATGAGTTACGAGGATTTGGTTGAATAAGTTACGAGGATTTGAATACACTAACTTCGATACTGTTAGGCCGTGTGTGAGTTACAAGAAGAAGGAATAACGTATCTTATGTTACGAGGTTTAGTTTAAGGGTGTTTGTGTGGAATTTGTGAAAAACCGAGACAGGAGGCGTTCCATGGATTTATCAGGTGGTAAATTAGGTACAAAATTATGCAAAAAAATCAAAATCTAAAAAAATTGAGATACAAGGTTTTGTCACCCCTGGACGATATGTACTTAATGTTGGGTAGTTTCTGCGCTCTATAAATGTATTATTATTATTTTATTATTATTACAGGATCCCAGCTACAGATAAACTAATATATTTTATAGAATGAACTGAAATATATTTTCCCCTTACAATTTGACAACATATGGCACATTTTCAAAACTTCTCGAACTGAAAATCTGAAACAGCAAAACTGGATAGGTACAGTACTTTTTTAAAGAGGGTACTATTGCCTAAAATATTCACTACGCAGGCGAGATAAAAACCATTGTTCACTCTTGGACTAAAAAATATTCAGGATGATATACAACAGCGGTATTGTATAATACTTACATTGTCAATATCTTCGGCCAGGCCGTCTGGCAATGGTGCTGCTCTCATGAAGAGACGATTGTGCTTGTTGGGTGACTTGGATAGACACATTCGGTCTGATTCCGCAGTGACACCTTCACGGTAAGACACGACTGGGTCGGATTTCTGCCAAAGAAAGGAGGATGGTTAAAGATAAAGACCAGTTATGGTCATGCGATTGCATTGTGAAAGAAACGTTGAGGAGTCGATCAGAAAAGGTTGATCATCTAGCATTGTATTGGTATTGGTGTGTATTGGTGTGTACTGCAAGGTTCTGGAATCGTCAAAATGATAAGAAATTTGACCCAGTCTTGATAAAGTTACAAGCACTGTACACAGAAAGATGTATATGGGACTACCCCCACACGTGCGCAATACATGTGTTATATCTATCAGGTCCAAATAGATATAATAATTTACCAAATATATCAATTAGTAGGCGGTTTCTCAGCAAAATTTGTATGATCACGTTTTAGTCAAAACATTCTTTCACATGATTGGTAACAAGAGCTTTCATTTCATTTTTTGAGAGGGGGGGGGGGGGCATTTTCAAAACTGGTCTTTACCTTGAACACATATGTTTAAAAAATCTTTTCATTTTGTATATAGGAATGTATAATGATAATAAAAATATTCCCCTATTACGTAGGGCTCAAAAAATCGATACAAGGATGTGTCTAAGTGCTTTAGAGATATATTATCAAAATTATAAAATGTTGTATCTAACACTACAAGGATTGGACAGGTTTTAGCGTCAGAAGGAGGTGGGGATGGAGGGGGGGGGGGGGGCGGCCATGCCTATCCCCAAAGGCAAAGGAACATATAACATATATCGCAGCAAAATTTTGCATGAAGCTTCAAACTTATGCATGGACCTGACCAGTAACTTATTTTCATTATTTATCAAAATTTATGCAAATTACATTCAGAAATAATGATTCACTAAAGGAAAAAGAAAATTACAGTTTTCTACACATGTTGTACTCTAAACATTTAAAATTTTGGGGCTGCCAAAGGGGTCACACAAGGAAATGTGACTCTGTAACAGTATGCATGATTCTTACGTATTTCATGTCAACAATTTTCGAAACCATGTGATAAAATGTCATCGCATCCCAAAATTATCGCTCGTGCCATCTTATCAGGGTTGTGAACGGGAAAAAGAACTTGTATTTGTAACTGAAATTAAATTACAGACTCCTTCAACAAAAAGACTTAGCTATGGGAGACGTAGTAAATGAAGGAGATATAAAGCAGACAGGTATTTTAGACTAACACAAAACAAGGTGTGCTATGGGAGATATAGGGAATAAAGAAGAAATAAAGCAGAGTGGTTGTTACCTTGAGAGGAATACCAGCATGATCTTCCTCCAGATCCTTGAGGCAGATCTCAAGATGAAGCTCGCCAGCTCCAGCCACGATGTGCTCTCCAGACTCTTCAATGGTACACTGTACCATAGGGTCAGACTTGGCCAGACGCTTCAGTCCTTCGACAAGCTTGGGCAACTGAGAGGGATCCTTCGCCTCCACAGCTACACGTACCACAGGACTCACAGAGAACTTCATGGTCTGTCAAACATTGCACAAGATAAATGCAATCAGTACATCAAATCTTTAAAAACTGACATTTTCTCTAGCATTCTCTGACCATTTCCCCCAGAGTGAATGTGAATTTTCACATGTATCTTGTTACTTGTATGAAATGTAGTTCAACCCCATTCTAAACTGGGCTTTTTTAATTGAAAGCTTATCCCTACAGACGGGTGAGGGATCATTAAAGCCCCTCTAAAATGTTGTGAGCCCCAAAATTTGATGGCAAAATTTTGCTTAAATTTATCATAAGGTGAAGGAGGATGTCATTTAAGACACATTTCTGCAAGGATTTTCAAAACAAAAGTGTTAGAAGTCGAATATTGATGAAAGAATACAAAATTTAGGTTTTCTGCGTACAAAAAAAAAAAATCCATATTTGTCTTCAAACACATTTTTTCTACTCTCTCTTTTAACCAACACTTTGATTAAGGAACTTTAGCAGCTTTAATCAATTTTTTTGCGCACTATGATGTTGAATGTACAGGATTTTCTTTAAGTGTTGGGACACTAATTTCAAGGATCTAGAAAACGTGTCATACCTTGATGTTGTGGGCATATTCATAGGTGGTGATGGTTCCGGTCTTCACTAAGAACTGATCAACGCCAACCAGACCACAGATGTTACCGCATGGTACATCTTCAATAGCCTCTTGGTAGCGACCCATCATGAGAATAGTCCTGTTACACAATAGAAACAAAGAGATTTAATTCATATAAAAATAACAGTAACCATAGTTGCCACTTGCCACTACTATATGAACAAATATCACGTTTTTTAAAGATACTATGTCCCTTTTGCAGACAACCTCAAATTCTGTAGAACTTTGCAGGAATTATGAATATGTCATGCATGTCCTATTTGTGAAATTTAAATGTTAGTGCTGTCCTAATATTTAAATTATGCAAGGAAACCCGTTTACTTGCTAGACTTCACTGTCAGACACTATTGAGTGACTGACAGGCTTTTTTCTTCTTTGGTAGTAACATACATAATACTAGAAATTTAATTCGTCATGGGGACGAATTAGGTGGTCTGTCTTCAAGTCTTATGAGAGATTATAATATTTACTATATTGAGAAAGGGAGAAGTTATATAGACATGTAAACAATGATGATCATGATGATCATGATGATGATGATCTTGATAGTAATGGTAATGACGATGATGATGATCATGATGATCATGATGATGTTGATGATTATCATCAACAGACCACGATGACATCAGACTGAACAAAATTAGAGAACATTTAGATAGCGTATAGTCTCAGCTACAACATACTCAAAAATCAACAAAAACCAAGTCGAAATAACGGCGATATTGCTCGCAAAAGACAAGAATGTAGAATCCAGATTTGAGAAAAAGTCATCTCCCATAAGGATTACACGCCAAAAGTAATGGATCTAGTGATAATAGGGTAATAATAAAGTAAATATGGTTTTTTATTACATTATTTGCGATTGTACGTGTTTTAATATTCAAAGGAGATGGTAGAGTGAAAGGTCAAAAAGAAAAAAAAGTGAAGAAAAAAAATTGTTGGAGACGCCCGGACTCGAACCAGGGACCTCGAGGTCGGAAGTCAAGTGCGTTACCAATATACCAAAACATTTCCCATAGAGATTACACGTAAACGGAAAATGGAATTATCAAATCCCACTTTGTAAGTGAAATATGAGCATGATCCCGGCATCTGATCGAAAAATAAAGGACACATTTGTGATAGCTTATTTTCTCAGCTACAACATACTCAAAGCTCAGCGTAAACAAAGATAAAACGACGGAGATATTGCTTGCGAAAGACGAGAATGTAGAATCCAGTTTTGAGAAAAAGTCATGTCCCATAGAGAATACACGCAAAATGTGAAAAATTGACATGCCTCCTTTAATCGCAAAAAAACGCCATGATACCTTTGTCAAAATGAAATTTTGTGGGAACTGCATTTGTAGAGAATATTCTCAGGTAGAACATATCAAAATTTGAAAGAAAATTGATCAATATTTACAGAGATACAATCAATTTTCCAAAAATCTGCTGACGTCATAATATGCAAATTAAAATTATGAGTTTGGAGGCCATTATGATGACGTCATGAGTTAATTGAGGGTCAAATGACACATGAAATCATATCTCCAACTCATGCTTTTTCGAACCATGATATAAAAGTTGGGGTCAATTGACTTTCTGAAGAGGTATTTTGATTTTTAAAATGGGATGTTTTTGATCTAATTTGCATTATATTGCCCATAGCAGCATGCGCAGATTTTGAACTTTGACGCGCGCTCATGGCCTTATGAAAGGTCAAGGGTTACTGAAATTAATGTAAATTGTCATTTACGGTAAGAGGAATCTAAATCATGTAAAAAAATTGAATTTGACCTTTTCCGCGCGTTGTGAGCGCGCGCAACGCGCGCGGGGACACGTATGGACGGAAAATTTTGAAATGCTTAAAATGACCTGATTCGTACTCTCCTTTAATAGTTTAAGGATTTTGAGCATTTTTAAATTTTGACGCACGCGTACGCGCGCGTCGTGACCTCTATGTGACCTTTGATGACATGACCTGTTGACCCTTGACCTGAAATATATGTGATATGAATATGAATGACCTTTGCTGATGCATCATGAAGATATGATGGATAATCAGGGCTCAAATTAATTTTTTGTCCATGGGGGCTCTTCCCCCCCCCCAAAAAAAAGAGCCCCCGTGAGCCTTCTCACGGGGGCTCTTTTAGTACTGACGGGGGCTCTTTTTGTATACAAAAGTCCATTGAATTGGTACCTATGATACTCCTCAATTATTTGCTATTTCATCATTATCATTTCAATCAGCATTTTCCCTCTTACAAATTTACAAGCTACATAGCTGTTACTGGCCTGTGTATATAATATATACGCATACAACACTGATCTTTATGATGTCTTTAACGTGACATATCTTCTTCTCCCCTTGCAAACGAGAAAGAAAACAAGGTCATTAAAAGGGATTAAGCGACAAATAATGATTGTGATTCAAATTGATACGAATATTTGTTTGAATAAGCACTGCTATTCACCCGAATCTTCTTTGTAAAAACAACTTTTACAAATCTCAGCCATGCTTACTGAGTTGAGACGTTCCATTCAATACACTTCTCCTAATCTGAAAGTGATCTTACAACACAGTGGCAGATTTGCAGGGCTGAGATTTGTAAAAGTCGTTTTTACAAAGAATATTCTGGTGAAAACATTGCTTATTCGACAAAAAAAATCCTTGCATCAATTTGAATCACAATGATTATTTGTCACATGATCCTTTTATTAAATAACCTTGTTTTCTTTTTTTGTTTGCAGTGTTTGCACTGCGAGCTGAATCGGTAATAACTAGGCCTACTCATAAAACGAGAAATCTTGCACGCTAATCTAAGTTCCATTTCATTGGTTTAAGGTTTAAAAATTGAAACTCAATATTGTGTTAAAGTTATAACAGAAAAGATAATCTTTGTTCTATAATTCCACGGGGGCGATTTTTAATTTTGCAATCGCCCCCGTGAGCAACCTGACGGGGGCGATTATGTAGCTCACGGGGGCGAATCGCCCACCGCCCCCGTGTATTTTGAGCATTTCACAAAATGGCGCCTGGATGACGTCACGATGACCTGATGACCTTGAAAAGGTTACTGTCACGTCTCATGACAATGACCAATGACTGTGTCAAAATTGAAAGAAATTAACACAACCGATCTTGAGTTAACCGATGAACAAAAAACGGGGAGAAATAAAAAATAAATAATAATAATAATAATAGTAATAATAAAGAAAGAAAATTCTGACGAAAACAATAGGTGATCTGTCATCGACAGACCACCTAATGAGCTGTAAAGGATTTGCCTACATCCATAATCCACTTCTTGTGATGGCCAAGATTAAACTGATTGAATCTTTGCGCAGCATAAAACGTATGACCATTCGGTACAATTGTCTGAAAATCAAGACTATTACTTTTGGGCTCTATAGCCCTAAAGTCGATTTGACAACTAATAGTCGTTATTTTCCCACTTGAAGACATTTTCAAGCCCCACCTTTTTTAGGGAAGTTTTAAATTAGTATTATCTTTCACATGCAGTTGGAATTTAACTTTTTCATTTTTTTGGCCTGCAAATGGGACAGTACCTTTAAATGTAAGAAAAGATGTTTTAATCCCTTTTTACATGATTTAATCTTATCTGGTTCTAAAATTTGTTGCCAGGTTAATGACAAAACATACCATCAATGCAAAATGTAAGATTTCAGCACATTTTCTTCCAGTTTACACGCAACAAAAAAATTTGGGGGGGTTTCCAAGAAGATGGAATTTTAATTCTAGCCTTTCAAATTGGCAGAGGGAGATTTTTGACCTACCGCTGGATGTTCTTTAGGTACAAGTCCTCCTTCTTGCCTGGTATGAAGTTGGGTCCCATGATGCGACATTTCTGGCCAGTGCCGATGGTGCCAGAAAAGACACGACCGAAAGCGAAGAAGCGACCTTTGTCTGTGGTCGGCACCATCTTGGAGACGTACATACAGAGAGGAGCCTTGGGGTCACAGGTCTTGATTCCTGTAAGAAAATAATCACTGAAATAGTTGATCCCATTGCTCCTTCAAAATTTAACAAAAGTATGAAACCTAATGACAACAATTTTTTTGCACTTACTTCAATTCTGGCTTTGGAAATGAACATGAACATGTTTGCTAAGCAAATACACTATTCAAGTCCTTGGATAAACATCCCAGACATTTCATTTGAAAAAGTTAGAAGAGAAAATGTACCCATAGCTACAGGATCATCAAGAGGTCCTTCGTAGAGCATCTCCATACGGTACTTCTGGGCAGTGGCGGGTGACGGCAGATGGATAGTGATCATCTGGAGCATAGTTTCACCAGCTGGCAGCCAGTTGCGCATGATGACCTATATCAAAACAAATTCAGGTATTGATTTAGGGGGCTTGAAAAAACATGTTTAGTAATAATCATTATTGGTAATGATAATTATCTGGAAATTCCAAGATGTTTCGATCTGGTAGCAAATAATATATCCAAGCATAAAATCACAACAAGTTAACGCAAAGCGTAGCATCCCCTCGATGGGTATAAATGGCCTATATACGTCAGAACAAGTTACCTCCATTGGACTATACTATTATATTACTAGGCAAGGAACTTAACCACATTTTCACATACATAATTAGGTGTTTTTGCATATTTAATGAGCTACGACCTTTCACCTTTGACCTACATACTCGGAAATCGAACTTACAGTATTGCTTGGAATAAAGTTGACAGCCTACCGCCATGTAACGCGCGTGATCAAATTACCGCGGGAACTTATTGAGTACCGCCACTCAAATGGTTCACGCGGTACTCTCACGGTAATGTCACACGGTAATGTCACGCGGTAATGTACCGCAGTCGGGAGTCCGTAGTCTCATAAAACACAAGATTCTTGTATGTATAGTCTATCCTTAACACATAAATAAAAATGTGTGTTAATGTGAGAGAGAGATGTACGAGGATTTTTTTTATTTTTTATTTGTAATAAATGGAAATTGCTGATTGACTGACTTGATTCCACAAGTTCGCACGTACTGCACATGATGGTTGTTCACCAGACTAGAAAGCGAGGGCTTGGTAGGCTTAGCCAACCAGGCATTGTTTGCTGAAAAAATGTTCTTGGATCATGAGAAATAACGAATTTTGGTAGGATTTCACAATACCATTATTATTTCAGAATAATTGTTGAATATTTGAATCACGAAGAGCCTTTATTTCAAGAGTTAAAAGCAGCCACAAATACACTGAACATTATAATGGTCTAATAAACGTTAACTACCACAGCGTGTTGCCTAGTAACCAACGTCAAGAAACAAACGAATGAATGTAGGTCAGTTCATTCATCGATACGCGAGGGCCTCGCAAGGCACGCAAGTTTGATAATTACATAGGACATGAGTTGTTTATAAAATATCCCCATACCGCTTTGCTCATTCTGGTTTGAAAATACAAACGACCCAACTAAGCATAAACACGCAGCATGCAATTTTTTAGCTACAAATTTATCAATTATTGCATACTTACTGATTCTATGACGTGATCCCACTTTTAGAATATCCATGTTTAACTATAAATCCGAAAATCCAATGGTATAAAAGCTAAAAGTCTAGTTTCGGACACAGGAATTCTATTTTTAAAGCTTATATTCTAAGCAAATAAATGTCCCTTAATTTGGTACCTACGGCAAGCATATGTTATTTATGTTATTTATAAGTTTTTCAATTACATAGTATATCACAAAAAAATACTGGCTACTCGAAATCCTTGATTGAAATGTCGAAAACATCTGCCTCTCTTTGCATAGAAAATCATTCACGGCGCTGGTCCACTATATATGACATCACGTCCGGGACAGAGTATATTCACATACCCGGATGTTCCATTGAAGGCATGTGCAGAGAGATACGATTTTCTGCTTATTTTTGTTTCAAAGGCTGAAAAGTCTAATAAATCATAATTCTTTGTGCAATTCTTTACCTTCTCCTAATGTTTCATAGTATTAATATCAATTCCCCTTTTAAAAATTATGACATATACATGCCAACGATGTGCTATTAGTTGATATTTTCATCATATAATTTTTGTTTTGGTGTTGAAATCGGCCCAGGCTCGGAGTGAGTACAGTAGCTGTCTGGTAAGGACCGTACCCACGCACAGTTCATTACCATACAGCGATCTCCTGATGGTTTCTTCTTCCTATTTCCCATGTCTTTCGCCTTCCTTGGCCCTGAAGATCCTTTATCTTCTTTCATGCTGTGCATTAATTGTGCGATCTACCAATTCTGACACCGGTAGTCAGGAGTAAGTCTTTGTTAGTTGTTTTTCTTAGCTGGTAACATCACTTTCATTCTCTCGCAATTGCCGATAAACATATAACTAGCGCACATACATTCCATCACAAGCAAGCCACGCCTAGAGCAGCGGCCTGGTCTTACCTCCCGATTCTGCTCGCTTCACGAACGTTCGTGCAAGAGCCGCATCACTCGCGGATGAATATTTCGTTCGATCACTAGACGTTGTCAAAATATTATAGAGGAAGCGCGCTTGTACGATCTTGTTCAAGTTTGATATTTTACAACATAAAATGTTTAACTGGTACCGTATCCTTTTTTGAGGCAGTCATACACATATATGATAAGTACTATCATAGTTCTAGGCCTATTCGTTTTACAAAACTGCTCCTGTACCTTATCTGATGACAAGATAATGTATCCGCCTATTCATACGTGCATGATTTAACCTCGTTTCCCAAGCAGTAAACTCGTCTTAAATCTCTACCAAATAGGTGAATATGAGGATATAAAAAGAAATCAGCGACTGGAAAATGTTGCTTCCTTATTCTTCATTCAAATGAAAACAGAAAATCCATCAAATATACTAATTAACAACAACAAATCTAAGCTCTGACAGGATAGCATTTACGTAGGGATACCACTGCCATTCACTCTCACTGAGCCCATGAGTGACCCATAAGACCCAAAAAACAAACATTTTTCAGGGCAATGTGACAAGGGAAATCGGCTCTAACATAACCGGCAAGATCGGGCAGCCACATTTGGTAGCAAATTAAAGCTTAGACATCAGACAAAATGGTGGTATTAAAATTTTAGCGGAACTCCCCGGAAATCTAAACATTTCCTCTGGATTTATAAAAAAATGGATAATAAGTCCATTTTTCAGTGAATTACCTTACAATATATCATGAAGATTGTGTTTATATTAATTTTAACCCACTCATGCAACGAAATGAACTATCACAAATATGTGAGAGCAATTTAATAATAATCCGGTTTTTTATATAGCGCTCAATTCACCGATCCAACGATGTGCCTAAGCGCTTTACAGATATATTATTACCCCGGTCATCGGATTCAGGCTTACCCGCACACAATGTGTGCACATTTTCCACTCCCTGGGGAGCATTCCAGCCAGTCGCCATTTTACAGGCGCACACTTGCTCGTTCAACCACATGAACGTTCGCATCCTACCGGGTACCCATTTAACACCTGGGTGGAGAGTAGCAAGTGCAGGTAAATATCTTGCCAAAGGATATTAGTGCCGTGTCGGGATTCGAACCCTCGACCTTCGTATCTACAGTCAAGCGCCTTAAACCACTCGACCACGACACTCCCTATATCATATCAATAACTTAAGAACTTCATGTTATATTGAAAGATTTATAAAATAAGTTACTTTTGCACTAAAACTGTAGGATTTTGCTGTTTGAAAGAGTAAATGTATATCCTTATTCAGAGCTGCCAACCTCCAGAACAGAAAATCAGTAATCACAAGGCTCAAAATCAGTAATTTGGGGTATAAATCAGTAATTTCTTATGCGGCGCTATGAATCTAAAAAAACGGCACGCCAACACTGCACGGACGCATGATTATCTGAAATTTTTGGTGATTTTACTCACACAAAGATGTTAAATATTGAATTTCAGGTCATCACAACACAGTTTATCATGAAACATGGCTTCTATTCACAGCACTCGCTACGATAAATCATATTTAATTTATTTAAAAAAAAAAAAAAAAAAAAAAAAAAAAAAAAAAAAAAAAACATTTTTTTTAAAAATCCGTAATTTGAGACAACATTCCGTAATGGTCGTTAATTTCCGTACCAATTACGGGAAATCCGTACTAGTTGGCAGCTCTGCTTATTGTGCATATCGGATTGAAAATATTTTACTGAGGTATTCCTCAAAGTATTACCTTTCAACTGGGCAAGAACAAATTTGGAAAAAAAAAAATCACCAAAAATGAGTTTTGGCGCACTTTGGTTCCTCCCTGGCCCACTGTGCGCCGGTTCCAAGATTTTTTCTGACTTGTTTTTCAATACAGATCGATCAATCAATCTTATTTACTGGGTGTAAGCCTCAAATATGTAAAAATAATACTAAAGTTATGGATCGGAAACCAGATTCGCATATTTAATGAGCTTTGACCTACATACTCGGAAAACACTTTTAAAACACAGCCCTAGACCTTAGATTGTGAACCTTGACAGCATCAAAAAACATGGAGGTCCCTATGTTACCTATCTTGCACCTATGTTGCTTCACTATTATTAACATCAGGGGTGATAGTGAGCACTAAAAAAAAATATAGGTCAGTTTTTTCCCCCCTCAACCACATCTCCCCCCCCCCCCCCCTTTTGAGTAAGAAAATTGGGGAAAAATAGGGGAAAAATAGAGAAAATAAGGTTAAAAATTGGGAAAACCAGGATAAAATCAGGAAGAAAGGAAAAAAAAAAAATTGGAAGAAAAAAGAAGAGAAAAACCGATTTAAATCTGGTTTTTATCAGGCCTGTAACATGAGGAAGAAATGGCTACAACTGACCTTGATAAGAGGCTTGCCCTCGAGATCTTTTTCCTCACTTTTGAGATTCACTTTCAGCTTCTCAAGCAGTTTTTCAGTCTCGGGCTTCTTGAAGTTCATGACTGCATCAAACATCTACATGTACAAAACAAAACACATTTCACGTATGAAACAACCGTAATGAGGTCATGCAAAAAGCTCCCAACCTCCTCTATTTATCTGCCCCTGTAATATCCTTATAATACAAAGTTGGTGAAAATATCCTGCTCAACATTGACTTCTTCACAGACTGGCATTCAAGGAATACAGAATCTAGGCATCTCATTGAAGGAAAATGGATTTGGCAATACCTTATTACATCTATTAGTGGATACCGTGCGCAGTCTCTACATTTATCTGTATCTGCCATTAGGCACTCATGTACACAGAGCTGCCAACCTTGTGCGACCAAAAAAAGGAATCATGATGGCAAAAAAAAAGAATTTCAAGCAAAAAAAGGAATTCATAAATTCATAAAATCGAAACTTACAACCACGCGCGACACAATTCTAATGCAGAAATGTTCATTCATCGTGCTGTTTTTTTCCATACAAGCAGGAATTTTTTTTGGTGGTTATTTTGGTATTATTGGCATTTCATTCTTTTTGAGAATATTTTTCTTTTCAAGTATGTTTTAAATTTAGTTTTCTGTTGAATTTGTGATCAAATCACCATTTTAGGGCAGTTGTTGGACGTGCGTTACGTAAAAAAAACAAAAACAAACAAGAGTAATTCTGGTAAAAACGGAATGGTTGGCAGCTCTGTGTACACGCATGCGTACTGGTGCTGCCAATGACAAGACTGTTGTGAACAAAGAAATCTAAATTTGGCAACATACTTCATTATTACTACATTATCTCCCTTCCAGGGTTTTTTTCCCTCTCTTGTTTCGTGTTTATTCTCATAAGACAAATCTTGAATCTAGAACTCTTCAGTATCTAAAATTGAAAAATGGATTGGGTTTGGATTTATGTCTCCAAATTACACTGATGAAATTCATCCAGCTAAGAAGTCTCATGTTTTTGAAAGGAATATATCATTTTTTAAGCCCTCAACCGTACCTTGTAGATAGGGTCCAAGACAAACTGGTTGAAACCACGAACATAGCCTTCACCTCCAACCTTGTTCCATTTCTTCTCTTTGGGGTTGAAGAATTGGTCACCCCAGAGTCTCTTCATGAGCTTGGCTGGCTCGATCTTAAACTTGGAAGCGTAGATCTCAGCAAACTGCTTCAGTGTGAAGGCCCAGCCATGGAGCCCAGATCCAAATCCAACGGTTCCCCTTGATGGTGCAACCTGTTACATAAGCAAACAAGCCATTGAAAATTGAATAAACCATAGTATATTTTGTTAAGGGCAGGCAACATCAAAGTGTCAACCTTCACAAGAAAAAAATAGAAAGTTTCTGAAGGTATGCATAAGGATCCGGATATTTTGTATAGTACTTCTACACAGAATGTAGCAGAAAAGAATTTGCTTCTCCTCTGATCATCCTTATCCTAACATAATTAATCAAAGGTTAATTAATACAATGCAAAAAAATGTGCAAGGGTTTGATGGTGTGACCTCTTTATAAGCTTTCATTTTATGCCCAATTGAAGAAAATGGGTACATGTAATGTGTTAAACGATTAAGTTACAGAAACACATTCAGCATTTTCTAGTCACGTACCAACCCAGTACAAACATATGGCAACCTGCAATATCGTTGCGGAACAAAGCAGATGGTCTTTAACCCTCTTTTAACTGGGCTATTTCAGACCAGGTTTTTAATGGGGGGGGGGGGGGGGTCGATTTGCATACATGTCAAGTGAAGTGTATTGAATACTATGGTAATTTCATTTTTTGAAAAATTCACTCATTTGCATATTTCTGGTAATTTATGCAAATAAGGTCATAAAATTTACATTTTTGCCCATAAATCATAGATTATTCATATTTAAGCATTCTTTTTCACTACATATATTTGTTAGACCATTTGGAATAATAATAAAACACAAAAATTGAAAGAGCCAGGTTATTCCTTATGTTATCTCTTGTTTTGATAATTTCTTATGTATTTCACTGTTTTTTAAACTTATGTATTTTATTGTTTTTGTTGTTTTATTTCATTAATAACTACAATTCAACTATTTTGACCCCAAAACAAACACCTAAACTTCAAACAAGACTAAATAACCAATGTTTTATCTCTTTTTAGGAAAAATGACATTTCCATATGTTTTGTACACAAATCACAAAAATGAGCGATTTTCGGGCTGACATGCAAAGAAAAAAGTTCATGCGACTTTGTAACTATATGTCCGATTTTCGAAAAAATTGTTTTAAAAGATGCGTAAGACTTGAAAGCAAAAAGTCATGAAAGGATTTTTTTTTATATCTGCCGCGGTTTCGTAGTAGTCGCAAAATTTCTACAGGGGAGGGGGTCAAGTTGACCCCCCCCCCCCCCCAAGTTAACATAGGGTTAAAGCTAAAATTTCCAGTCCTTTAGTTGTTGTTTTCTACTCTTCTTTTCATTCTTTTTTCATGATGCATTGCTTAGATCAACTTATACCAACCTGGATGTTACCCATAGGTCCATCCTCGTCAGCATAGGTGGCAACAATCACATTGATACTCTCAACGATCCTCTGGAAGGTTTGGTAGAGATCTTCCATCTCCAGCTGAAGCTCCAGAAGAGCACGGTCCATCTTGTTCATGAACACAACTGGCTTGATGCGCTCAGCAATGGCTTGTCGGAGGACAGTCTCTGTCTGCACACAGACACCTACATGTGGAAAACAGACAAAACTCTTGTGGAATGCACTGGCACTACTTGAGCAAAACTGGAAACCATAATGACTTGTCCGTATTTAATAGAACTGCTAAATTTGGAACATTTCTTATTTGAAAAAAATTCAAGATTTCTACTAGTGATTTTTTTTTTAATGTATTTTCTATTTAAATTGAAAATTTCATTTACATATTTCTTTTTGCTGCTGGTATTTGTTTTATTCTTACCAAAAAGGGCCTTATGGAATTTTTGGTGATATGTGCTACCCTCTGTAAATATCAGAAATAAAATAAATTTAAAACTAGATGGACCTTCAACCGCGCGCAGTCGAAAATGATGCCTCCGCCATGGAGCAATTTTACAAGCGAAAACAATAGCGAGCTATTTTTGCATACTTAATGAGCCCTGTGACCTTGATATTTGACGTTGTTACCCCAAAATCTAATCAGTTCATTGGCTCTGCAAGGTACATACATGATCCAAGTTTGGCTGGAATCCATCAATGGGTTCTTGAGATAACACGATCACAAGCTATTTTTACACACATAATGAGTCCTGTGACCTTTGACCTTGGATCTTGCGACCCCAAAATCTAATCAGTTCATTGGCTCTGCAAGATACATACATGACCCAAATTTGGCGGGAATCCATCAATTTGTTCTTGAGATAACACGATCACAAGCTATTTTTACACACATAATGAGTCCTGTGACCTTTGACCTTGGATCTTGCGACCCCAAAATCTAATCAGTTCATTGGCTCTGCAAGATACATACATGACCCAAATTTGGCGGGAATCCATCAATTTGTTCTTGAGATACGCGATCACGAGAACGGGAAGTACGGAAATACAGACGTACGGACATACAGACGTACGTACGGACGGACGGACAGCCCGAAAACATAATGCCTCCGGCTACTTTGTAGCAGAGGCATAAAAATAAATACTAAACCTAATCTACAAAACTGACAAGTTTCCCAAATTCCTTACCACTGACACAATCCACAACAACCAAAGCTCCATCAGTTACACGCAGAGCAGCTGTCACCTCAGACGAAAAGTCAACATGGCCTGGGGAATCGATGAGGTTGATCAAGAAACCACGCTCGTTCACGTCCTTTTCCTGTTCGATGAATGTCATGTCCTTGTCACTCAGCTCGTAGTACATGGAGATGGCTCTGAAGAAAAAGACAAAAAAAGGAGACATTTTCAGCATTTGATAATTGATGGCCAGCAATATCAACAAGAGGTCCGCGGAGCTTACACTCACATGAGCCGATGAAAGTAATGGCCTCACATTAAGGTACCTAGCTCCCATCTCCTTCAGACCAGGAACAGTAGGGCGTTTTAGGGGTGTTGCTCCCAAGTTTGTGGGCACACATTTTTTTTCTCATTGTCATTCAATCTCCTCATCATTATTTCATTGATCAGCGATCAAAATCTATCGCTCAATTTTAGAAAAAAATGCAGGGATAGGCCCTCGATTCGATTCTTAAATATAAGGTGAGGGTAAAGAACCTTTTTGTTTGCAGTATTGGCCAAAAATGTTGAATAGGGTCAGGAGTCTCAGGACACAAAAAGAGAATCCCTGCTACAGCTACATGTTGATACTTACGTCGACTTGATGGTAATACAGCGCTCCTGCTCATCTTTCCTGGTGTCGGTGAAGCGTGCCTCTCCTGCCTTGGATTGAGCAATGATACCGGCCTTGCTCACCAAGGAGTCGGTCAGGGTAGACTTGCCATGGTCGACATGAGCGATGACAGACATGTTCCTGATGTTCGTCTTCTTGTCCATGATCGCACGGATCTGATCTGTAGTGAAGTTCACCTAATAAAAGAAGGCAGTCATAAAATAGGGGGAAAAAGTTCAGTTGAAAGTTCACAAATCAACTGACCTCTGAATATTGGTCTCGAGTAAGGGAGGGGGTTTTCACACAAATATTACATGAAAATTAAGAGTCACCATGGCAATTTTAATTTTCCTTTCCATTGTCTTGGCAGTTTCAGCATGGCCATGGTGCTTTCACCCTGACCTTACAACATAGAGAGATATCTGGTGGACTGGCAAAAACAAAACAAAATGACGTAACTTTGAATTCGGAACAGAAATAAATAATGACGCAAACTACAAATGTATATCAGTGCACTTTGGCTTCAAGACAGCCAGAGGTCATAGTTTTGGAATGTTAATCACATTTTTAGTTCAATCGTTAGGAACACGTGAAAGATTTGTTTACATCCCTCTTTACGCAGGGGTGCGGGTGCCAATTAAGACTAGGTGACATCAACATCATATTTAATATCATCACCTAGCCCTAATTGGCTAGGTCAGGCATGGTTAATCATGATTACATAAAATAGCTTGTGCACAGTTTTTCAGTTATAATCATTTTGCCTTTGGCGTAGACAAGAAGGGATGAGATTTAGATGACGTCATGCGCAGCGAGAGTTTACACCACCGCTGCAAGAGTTTTATCATGGATGTCGACTTTGACCCTTAATTTCCTAAAAATGGACCATTAAACGGATTATTTCAGTCAAGTTGGTAAGTGGAACCGAGATACCTAAACCTAATTTACAATATAACTAGATGGAATTTTGACTGCGCGCAGTCGAAAATGATGCCTCCGCCATAGAGCTATTTAAACAAGTTTGGAGTTTAAATCTCCAGTGGTTCTTGAGATATCATGATAACTATCTCAATGTATGGAATTTCATAAGTTGACCTCTGTGACCCTTGACCTTTGACCTACGTGCTCCAAAATCTAATCAGATTGTCTTCCTATGGTGATACACACTATCATTAAGTTTGAAGTTTAAATCTCCAGTGGTTCTTGAGATATTATGATATGGTGATACATACTATCATTAAGTTTGAAGTGAAAATTCTCCAGTGGTTCTTGAGATATCGCGATAACGATCTCAATGTATGGAATTTCATAAGTTGACCTCTGTGACCCTTGACCTTTGACCTACGTGCTCCAAAATCTAATCAGATTGTCTTCCTATGGTGATACACACTATCATTAAGTTTGAAGTTTAAATCTCCAGTGGTTCTTGAGATATTATGATAACAATCTCAATGTATGGAATTTCATAAGTTGACCTCTGTGACCCTTGACCTTTGACCTACGTGCTCCAAAATCTAATCAGATCGTCTTCCTATGGTGATACATACTATCCTTAAGTTTGAAGTTTTTACATCTCCAGTGGTTCTTGAGATATCATGATAACAATCTCAATGTATGGAATTTCATAAGTTGACCTCTATGACCCTTGACCTTTAACCTACGTGCTCCAAAATGTAATCAGATTGTTTTCCTATAGTGATACACACTATCACTAAGTTTGAAGTTTAAATCTCCAGTGGTTCTTGAGATATCATGATAACAATCTCAATGTATGGAATTTCATAAGTTGACCTCTGTGACCCTTGACCTTTGACATACGTGCTCCAAAATCTAATCAGATCGTCTTCCTATGGTGATACATACTATCCTTAAGTTTGAAGTTTAAATCTCAAATGGTTCTTGAGATATCGCGCTAACAAACTCAATACAAGGAATTTCATAAGTTGACCTCTGTGACCTGTGACCTTTGACCTACGTACTCCAAAATCTAATCAGATCGTCTTCCTATGGTGATAAATACTATTCCCGAGTCTTAAGTTTAAATCTTAAATGGTTCTTAAGATATTGTGATAACGGTCAAACGGGACGGACGTACGGACGTACGGACGGACGTACGGACGTACGGACGGACAACCCGAAAACATGATGCCTCCGGCACCACCTTCGGTGGCGGAGGCATAAAAAGCAGCGGATATGCATGCTGTGAAAGGAGTAATTTGGGGATAAGTTTTGCAAGTTTGGTGTATTGATTTACACACCTCACCTACACATTTGCCGGTATAGTCCGTTTCTGTCTCTAAAGAGAGAGCCGACCCTACCCAAATAAGAGGCTTAACGAACGAAAGAGACGGAAAATTCGATCTATAGCGGGCAGAGCAGGTATCCCACGCCGGAGCTCCCCGGTGTTCGCCCTGTCGAAAACTAGCTCTGCATTGATCGGAAATTGGAATCTGAATTAGACAGAGATATCGTGCGTGCGTTGCGGTGTCCGTCAGACTTCTTGTATGGTTTATGGTATCGCGCATACAAGAAGTCTGCATAATTTTGGACTGATAGCTTCAGTGTGAGGTGCAGGACTAAGGCGTAGAGACGGTACTGAGCGACGACGTCTACATCGACGCCCTAAACGAAGGTTTCCCGATGTCGGATGTAATCCAAATTCAGGTGGAAAATGCAATAGAGTAAAGGAGCCGGTAATCGGCCAATTCCAGTTTTCGGCCGATTGGTTGGATGCAAGGTAAAATCACTATAAAATACATCGCATAATAGCATAACACATATCCCACACATACCATACCATGCCAGTGTCACTGAAGAACCACATTTGCAATGGAAAATATATCCTAAAATATCATATTTTAGCGATGTAATCGCCGGTCCCGCTACCCAAATCTGAAAAATCGAGTATCTTACGCGTGTCTGTAAGAAATATAGGTACCATAAAATGAGCTTTATTTCAAGTATTTTTCAGATTTAGAGCCCGATTTTGTGCTAGTCGCAAGCTCAAAAGTATCTCATCGCATGTATTAAATCAATGCAGCCGCACACCGCGACGCACACACGATATCTCTGTCTAATTCAGATTCCAACTTCCGATCACCGCTGTGCCTGTCTTCGGCCAGGCGAGCACCAGGGAGCTCGGGCGTGGGATACCTGCTCCGCCCACTTGTGCTGTACATCAGCGCGGAAACGCACGGCGCGCGCGAGCGCTTCCTATTGACTTTGTACATGCGGCCGTAAACTGAAACGCTCGGCCGATAACTGGCTCCAAAACAGTGAAAATTGAAATGAATATTGTCATGGCAATTCGTGATTTTTTTCTGGGATTCTTTTTTTTGTTTAAATAATAATAATATTTGCTTCATGATTTGAACTAGACCGAATTTTCCGTCTCTTTCGTTCGTTAGCCTCTTATTGGGGTAGGGTCGGCTCTCTCTTTAGAGACGGAAGCCGTTTATACACATGTCCTTGCTAACGCCACGGCCAGTTCTGGTCGTAGCGTTTTGCCCCCAAAATCCCCCAAAATGTCATTTTACCTCGAGCATGTTATATTGTAAATTAGGCCTAGGCTATAATAAATCAGTTCCACTTACCAACTTGACTGAAATAATCAGTTTAATAGTCCCTTTTTAGGAAATTATGGGTCAAAATCGGAATCCATGTTGAAAAAGATTTTCAAAATGGATTTCGATTTTGACCCATAATTTCCTAAAAAGGGACTATCAAACTGATTATTTTAGTCAAGTTGGTAAGTGGAACTGATTTATTATAGCCTAGGCCTAATTTACAATATAACATGCTCGAGGTAAAATGACATTTTGGGGGATTTTGGGGGCAAAACGCTACGACCAGAACTGGCCGTGGCGTTAGCAAGGACATGTGTATAAACGGCTTCCGTCTCTAAAGAGAGAGCCGACCCTACCCCAATAAGAGGCTAACGAACGAAAGAGACGGAAAATTCGGTCTAGATTTGAACAAGAAATGATAATAAATAGGAAGTAAAGAGTCCTAAAAATAGGATTTTGTCTTAAGTGGCCGAAAACGGGCTCCTTTACTCTATATGATTATGATTAAAATTAGTAAAAAATTGGGCTAAAAATTCCTTTGCTACGAATGGATATTAAACTGCTGAAAAAAATGGATACGGAACTACACTAGCGCCCTGATTACCCCCTCCTTTACTCTATGCAGATCATCTCAGAAAATAAACATCCTTCTTCACCCCATTTCAATAGAACCCATTTTGGGGGCATCATAAATGTAAAGAGCAACGTTAAGATCATAGAAAGACAACAAATCTAAAATGATTTGTCATCAAAATGGACACTGGCATTACATCATAGATCTACATGTCATTGTACATATTACCAGCTGCATACATGTCGACGACATTATCCCACATACTATACTGTACACGTTCATTCATTCAATCATTCACTTCACAATTCAGAGTCGACGTAGTAAATTAAAAACGAATATTTCATCATTTCTTCTGTCGCAAACGAAGAATTTACAGTCTAGTCCTCATCTTAGGTATATAAATACTATAGATTTTTAAAGATTTTGTATCGATGGAACTTACCATTTTGGATATTTGCTCTGTTTCTCCCACCAGATGTCTACAAAAATGTTACTCGGTTTACGCCGGTAACTGAAAAGGGTGCAACGTAGCGAGTGTGCGTTGTTCATACGCGAACGGGCACGGGGCGAGCGAGATATACAGTACAGTACATGCGTACAGTACACGTGAACTGTTTGGTAGCCTACGTACGTACGTGTGTGGGAGTGCGATGTGTAAATTGACTCTAGTATCTTTTCATTAACGTACTACACAATACATAGACCGTTATTAATTCACAAAATAGATGACAAAAACGACAAGTGACAAGTATAAGATTGCGCAACTTCCGTGACACACAGACGTCATAACCGCGAGATGATGTCGCAATATCCTTTGTTGTTGTATATTATGTCGCATAATGTCGTAATAATTTTTCGACATTAAAACAAAATAACAGACTCATATCATTCCAATTCAAAATATTTGATGACCTAGTTTATACAAATGAAATAATTATAAATAATTTATGTTGCTTTTGCCAGAAAGTGACCGAGTATACACTTTGGGAAGAAAATTGTGACACTTTTTAATTTGGTAAAAGAACGTAGACTGGAAAGGGGTTCATATTAAAATAGAATGGTCAACAGTGAGTGAAAAAGTTGTATGAAATAAAAAATAAAAAATAAAAAAAAGTTTTTAACAGCAAAAATAAAATTGAAGCCCCTATACTCCTCAAGATATGAAGGAAAAGTATTAGAAAATAAACAAGAAGACCTAAAGTTAGCTGAATAGAGAGGAAATTACGTAATCATTTTGGGAAATGGGACAATCTTCTTTGATGGGGGGGGGAACCGACCGAACACCCCCCCCCCCCCCAGTGGCGGATCCAGCCGGCGGCAAGAGGGGGGGGGGGCCAAATCTTGAGAAAATATTTAGCGGCGAATCAGCCAGCCGGTGAACGGCGAATAAGCGGGGGGGGGGGGGGGGGGGGGGGTGTAAGAGCATTTTTTTTTCTTGGTCCAGTTTTTGAGGGATTTTTTTTTCGCCGACTCAGCCGGTCGGTGACTAAGCGGGGGGATGCTGTAGAGGAGGACCACTAATTTCGTGGGGGGGGGGCATTTGGGGGGGGGGGGGGTCGGGGGCCACTTTTTTTTTTTTTTTTTTTAAAGGTAAAATTTACGTTAGTATCTATAGTATCCTTATTATTAGGGCTAGGGGGGGCCGGGCCGGTAAAAACGGCCCGTGGATCCGCGCCTGCCCCCCCCCCCCCTATATCCGCCCCTGGACATGGTACCTTTACAAAATATGATAGAATATAACATTGCTCAACATTCGTGTCACACAGACGTCAAAATTGTGAGATGATGTCGTTGTTGTATGCATGTCGCAGTTGATCCGTTTATTTTCGACACTAAAACGAAATGGCAGCTAAACTCATATAATTCCAATTCAAAATACTTTATAACCTAGTTTATAGAATTAGGCCCACATAATGAGTATATTAAATAATTTATGTTACTTTTGTCAGAAAGTGGACCGTCCGTAGGGATTTTCACAACTTTCGGGTGTTCGCCATGCAAACACCATAATAATTATTAGTGATATTTTTGTTTAAAAATACCGGGGACCCAAATTTAGGTGTTTTTTGTGAACAAAATTACCCGTTAGAGCGGCACATGGGCCCGTATGTCTGAATATGTGAGTACCCCCCCCCCCCCCCCCTCCCGGCCCCGGAGTGGAGGAAACATGATTATGAACATTTATTCTTTCCATGTGGAAAAAAAAAATCTGTTGGGAAAAGACAGTGGCACTTTTTAATTTGGTAATATCAATTTCAATGATTTCATGACTCTATCAAAATACACCGAAGAAAAAACAAGCAATAGAATTTGCCTTATGTAAACAAAGGTATAACCAACGCTTGCCCGCGTATGCCATTCATTCTGTTGGAGAAATCCACTCAGTGGGCGAGCGTCGGCCGAAACCTTATCCGCAATCGCATGGGCATGTGCTTTGATTTTGGGTTCGCTCATGATCACGCATATACACATAACATCCAGGCGCGGATCCAGGAGGGGGCGAACGGCCCCCCCCCCCCCCGCAAAAGAGAGAGAGAGAGAGAGAGAGAGAGAGAGAGAGAGAGAGAGAGAGAGAGAGAGAGAGAGAGAGGAAAAGAAGGGAAAGAGGAGAGAAGGGGAAAGAAAGAAGAGAAAGAAGAAAAGAAAAGGGTGAAAAGAAGGGGAGAACAGATGCGATTTCTTTTTTCTTTTTTCTTTTCAATTTCATTTTATTGTTCATATTTCGCATTTTACAATCTTAATTTACAACACATTAATGCACTCAGGTTCAGGTAATTTAGTGTAGACACAAAGGAAATACATCAAATGAAGTTATATACTTGCCTTTGACTAGTTCACGACAAACCATTTACTTATAAAACATTTAAATTACTATACCACGCAATTGCTATTGGTGATTTGTTTACGATACACACGTAGGACTTAATATAGAATTATAAAGTCAAATTTAAAAAAATGTATATATAAAAAAAATATAAAAGTATTTGCATATACAGCAAACATTGACTGTGACTTTTTATCCGCTGTGACGACTTCGAGAGTGACTGCAACCCGGCCCCCCCACTCAGTGTTATTTAGGGTACGCATATGCTCGTACCCTCTTTTTGAAAGCACCCCCTATCTGAGGACTGCCAACATTTCCGAACCCCCCTTTCGCGGGCTTTTCGGGGGCTTTTCCTGCCTTGGAGACCCCCCCTAAATCAGGAAAAATGCTCAATGTACCCCCCTAAATTTAGAATAATTTCTCAGGAGTCCAAAGAGATGAGAGAAAAAAAGAAAAACACCCCCTTTTTAAAGAAATCTCCGGGTGAAAAGTCAAATACACCCCTTTTTTTACAATTCTCGGGCCGGACTTTGTCGCACGAAAAGTACCCCTTTACCGGACATTTTGGCAACACGCATGCGGTCATTCCGACCTCTGAGTGGGGGGGGGCCGGGGACTGCAACTAGTACTACAATACTTATATTTTCTCGAAGTTTCACTTTCCTATAATATCAGGTAAAGAAATCAGAGGTTTAAAATTTTCAGGGAAACTAAATTTCAAACAAGGATTAAGAGCCAACAACGGTACAACGAATCGTCTTCCTTCTCTAAATTTTGATGAAACGCCAAAATTTCCGCGCTTCCGCGAGGTAGGGGAAAACTTCATTTTGACGAGTCGAGAACGGTACAACGAATCGTCTAGTTTCTCTCATAATTTAAGGAAACGTCAAAGCTTCCGCGCTTCGCGCAAGAGGGGGAAGCTGAATTCAGACAAAGAGGTGATTAAGAGTCAAAAACGGTACAACGAATTGTCTGCTTTCTCTATCAATTTAAGGAACCGTCAAAGCTTTGCGTCCTTCGCGCTGGAAGGGGGAAACTGAATTCAGACAAGGATTAAGAGTCGAAAACGGTACAACGAATCGTCTGCTTTCTCTAATAATTTAATGAAACGTTAAAACTTCCGCGCTTCTCACGGGAGGGGAAAACTTCATTCAGACAAGGATTAAGACTCGAGCACGATCGCGAATCGTCTACTTCCTCTAATAATTTAATGAAACGTCAAAACTTCCGCGCTCAGCACGGGAGGGAGGAAAACTGAATTCAGATAAGGATTAAGAGTCGAGAACAGTAGGCCGACACCGAATCGTCTGCTTTTTCTCATAATTTAATGAAACGTCAAAGCTTCCGCGCTTCGCGCGGGAGGGAAAAAACTGAATTCAGACAAGGATTAAGAGTCCAGCACTGTTCAACGAATCGTCTACTTTCTCTAATAATCTAATGAAATGCCATAACTTCCGCGCTTCGCGCGGGAGGGGGAGAACTGAATTCAGATAAGAGGAAGATGAATTCAGATAAGGATTAAGATTCGACATCAGTACACCGGATCGTCTGCTTTTTCTCATAATTTTAAAACGTCAAAGCTTCCGCGATTCGCGCGGGAGGGGGAGAACTGAATTCAGATAAGGATTAACATCGAGAACGGTATATACAGCAAATCCTCTACTTTTTATAATTTAATGAAACGTCAAAGTTTTCGGGCTTCGCGCGGGAGGAGGGGGGGAGGGAACTTCATTCAGACAAGGATTAACAGTCGAGATCGGTACAATAAGACGTCTTCTTTTCCTAATAATAGTACTGAAAAACAAGGAAACGTCTAAGCTTTCGCGCTTCGCGCGGGAGGCCTTACACCGACACTCCCCTAATGAGCGCGCTTCGCGTGCTCTTTTAGTGATTTGCTTGCTCACAACCGACCCTCCCTAAAATGAGATCCTAGCTCCGCGCCTGCATTAAAATATATAGCTATGATGTTGACTAAGTTGACGAAATAATTCGTATATTTATGTCGTCGAGGAAAATGATCATTTGCGCATACGAAAGTACTATAGATAGTCCATAGGAAAAACAATTTAGCCTTCGGCCCAGGGTTTATAGGGTTAAATTTGTAGATATTGGGACATTTAATTTTGTCGGTAATTGGTGGCCTCCCCCCCCCCCCCCCCTCCCCCCTCACTGAAAAAGGTCTAGCGACGCCCCTGGGTCTAGTGGATAAGTCACCTGACTCAGTGGCGGATCCAGGGGGGGGGGCCTTAGAAAAAACCCTTTTTTTAGCTTTTTTGGGGGGATGGCCCCCCCCCCCCTGGAGCTCAAGGGGGGAAAATGTGCTCACTACCCCCCCCCCCCCCTCCCCATATCCATATTATTATCCTTTACTACCTTTTCAGAAAATATTGGAGAATAAAGAACGAACCCTGAAGGCCAACAAAACCGCCACCTCCCCCCCCCCCCCCCCAAAAAAAAAAAAAAAAAAAAAAATTGTTCACAAATTTGCTCTCCCCCATCTCCCTCCTCACTCTCTCATTATAAATCTATTTATATTTTTTTCTCCTCTCTCTCTCTCTCTCTCTCTTTCTATCTCTCTCTAACTCTCTTTATATTCCTCTTTTTCTCCCCCCCCCCCTCCTCTCTCTCTCTCTCTCTCTCTCTCTCTCTATTTATATGATTCTCTCTCTCTCTCTGTATCTCTCTTTATATCCCTCTCAATTTTTCCTCTCACTTTCTCTGTCGCCAGACCGATTTCAATTGTTTCAGGTAGTGATAAAGCAAACTAATCCTAGCTTTTATATTTTTCAAAACAGATACAAAACATACACAGAATCAATCTTCACTGCATTGTGAATGACATCGTTTATTATGATGTTCATCTCAGAGACCTACCTGTAGATCAGGTTTAACATAATGTTGAATCTAATCCTATCACAATTTCTTTCATAACCCACCCACACAGAGGTGGTAAAGTGTGTTATCGCATTAACACTCTTTTATCTTTTAAGATCTCAATGTCTAGTAAAGGTTTTAGGAGATACATTTCGGTATGAACATTTCTTTTGGAAAGGGTGATTGGAACCTCTTAAACCTTTCACTTTTACAGTTTGTCTAAAAAACACACATTTGTCAAGATGATACTTGCATCACTCTTTCCCAAAGTATTATAGTGTATTTTTTTATATGGGCATAATGTTGAATAAAGACCCCATTGCATAAAACTTACTAATGATGGTAACTTCCATGGGAGCCTTGATTTGAGCGGCTGTTGAGTGATGTTGCCATGGTAGTTAAAAAATTGATGGCCAGTTTGCCATCAATGGTAAGTTTTATGCAATGAGCCCTGGGTCAGACCTTACTGGATATCTAAAACAAAAATATTATAATCATTCCCAAATCACTCCTCTGTTTTTTATGTGAAAAAAGAATTGGAAATCACTGTTTTATAAGTGTCATCAAAAGTATTGCACTTCAAATTTCTTATTCCACTCAAATAAGTTAGTGTGCATAGGACCTTTGTTGTGTGTGGCAGCTTTTTCCATCCTCACTTTTCACTCATTTCATACACGAAAATTGCTGTGGTTAAACTGGGGCCGTTTGCCACAGCATATGTGAACGTGCCCTTATGTTCTTCCTCTTGCATCTTGATATATCGAGGAATTCACTTCATAGGAGTTCACATATGATGTCCTGTTATAACCTTCCCATTGCTTCTTGGTATATGGTGGAATTCATAGGAGTTCACATATGATGTCCTGTTATAACCTTCCCATTGCTTCTTGGTATATGGTGGGATTCATAGGAGTTCACATATGATGTCCTGTTATAACCTTCCCATTGCTTCTTGGTATATGGTGGGATTCATAGGAGTTCACATATGATGTCCTGTTATAACCTTCCCATTGCTTCTTGGTATATGGTGGAATTCATAGGAGTTCGCATATGATGTCCTGTTATAATCTTCCTCTTGCATCTCGGTATATGAAGGAACTCATAGAAGTTCATATAAGATGTCCTGTTATAATCTCCCTTCTGCTTCTTGAAGTATGAAAGAGTTAAGGACAAAGACTGTTTTATCCGTCTGCAATTCACTCTGTTCTAACCTGTGGATGCATAAAAATAATATGAATAAAAAGAAAATCATGAATTAATACCAGAAAAAAGAAAGAAATAAAAAGAGCATTAATTCATAAACTGCCAGTTTTAAGATAAAAGGATCATATAATCCATTCCTGGGTATTCCTGATAAGATAATGTATTTCATATTTCTTTTCACTTTTTTATCTTGCGACAATGGCTTAACCATGAATTTTTTATATATATTAGTTAAATTTTAATAATTCAGGATGAAATGCTATATTTTAATCCTAGAAAAATAATCTGATAATCACCGCAACCCAAACACTAACCCTACATCTTCAATGATATAAAGCCTGGAGCAAATATCACAAGAATTACAAAGGACAGCTGATCCAATATTTCTTCCTGGCTTTATTTGGTAAAAGATAAAGGTTAGGGATTGGATAGCCGTTGGGTTTTGGGCTAGGTTTTCAGTTATGATTACTGATGGGTATCCTGTCTTGCTCAGGGGTACATTTTGGAATTCAGTTGCTATAGGAATCATCCAGTATAACATGCAAACTTATTATGCCATATTTTCTGTCTACTTTAGTTTGGTATCCCAACAAGACCACTGCACAGAGGAGAGATTGTTTTCAACCCAGTTTAGGGACCCTTTGATATGAATGTTAATGGAACTGAACTCACTTAGCTATCCTTCCTTTGTATTTCTGGAGTTGTTCTTTCTCTAGCTGTGTCATCGTCTTCTCGATCTCTTCTAGCTGAGCAGGTTCTGCTCCTGATCCTTGCATGGAGGCTGTGATGGCCTCCACCTTCTGCTCCTTCTCAATCAATCGTCTGCATTAATAAAAAAGACATTCTTAAATGTCTCTACGTTGCCAATTTTCCTGTGCCCATATTCACTGGATTATTATTTACCTTTTGCCACAATTTGAGAATTATTTTCACTGATCTTGAAGGGGGAAAACATTTTCCTCTACATTACTAATTTACAATTATATGTATGAAATAAATCAAGATGCTAAATTGACATTTGACCTTTGAACTGTTCATACCCCATTCACACCAACAAGACAGACACCATACCAACAACTGACCCCCCCCCCAAAAAAAAAAAATAAATAAATAAATAAATAAATAAAATAAAATAATAATAATAATAATAATAATAACAATAATAATAATAATAATATCAATAATAATAATAATAATAATAATGATAATGATAATGATAATTATAATGATAATGATGATAATGATAATGATAATGATAATGATAATAATAATAATAATAATAAATTAATAAATTAATTAATAATAATAATAATAATAATAATGAATAAATAAATAAATAAATACATTGCCGGTACCCAGGGATGCCAACCTTTCAGAGCACAAATCCGTAATCATAAGGCTAAAAATCTGTAATTTGGAGACAAAATCCGTAATTTTCTGCGCGACGCAAATTTTTCTGCACGCTGGCAAGCGCAGCTCCCGCAGGCAAGCGCGATAGCACAACAAGTTAAATAAAAGTAACATACCTGTTCATTAGTTGGTGTTACACGATGCATTTCCATTTCTTACTGTATTCTTCTTTAAAAGTCTGTAACTTCTTGCCACGCTTCTTAGTTGTGGAAGACATGATGATTGATATCTAAATCCAACCAACATGAGTTCAGATTGTCGACGAAAATCGACGAACGCTGTGACAGCCTGTGAGAAATCCGACAGTGTACACGGCGCTAGCGTAGCGAGGCCTGGCGCTGGGCGGGCGGTAGCGGCGCGGCCAAGAGAGGTATTTCACCCGGCCCCCGCTCGCGAAGCACATGTTGTATGCACATGTATGCACTGAAAGGGGTGTGCTAGATAACAAATTTTCCAATCGGAAGCCCTGTGGGATTTCTATGCATGGATTCAAGGATGGCTGCGCTGCAATAGTCAAAAGTACGTGCTAAACCTTAAACGTGCTAAACCTTAAAGTGCTAATTTTGAAAATCGGCAAAATCTGCAAAATCCGGAATTTACGGTATGAAATCGTACCGCCCGTAATCGGCCGATTTCCCGTAGAAATTACGGGAAATCCGTACTAGTTGGCATCTCTGGGTACCCCAAAAGGATATAAATCTGTCGGTCTGGAATCGATAGTCAGTGACTGGGGTATTACTTACAAATCTTATCAGGCTACCAAGTTTGCTACAAAGTTTGAAGTTCATGCCTCTGGTCATTCTTTTTACTCCATTAAAGATGATGCATACCAGTACAAATCATAAGTTTTTCCATCAAAGAGGTCATTAGAAATTGAAAAAAAATTAAAATAGCACAGTAGATACACCTGCCACTAAGCAGGCTTTAAACCTTTTTGTGATACAGGGTACCGTTACTTCATTTTTTTTATTAAACCTTCTGCTCAATCAAATTTAATGGATAAAAATGGTCATAGTCTGATGCAAAATAATCCTGGAGAGTTCCACAAAGATTAAGATCGACTTAGGTTGGACTGTGGCAGGGCCTCAAGCATAGTGTATTTGAGGAGGAATACTGAATCATGCCGGAATGGGAATTGCTAGACTTGCTTGTTTCAGCCATCTTATAATTGCAACTTGTCGTCAGATTGATCACAACTTTCATAAAACATCCCTAACAATTTGCACATCAAAAAGTTTTCGTAATTTGGGACTTCATATGTACATATTTTTATTCTTCAGGTTGTCTACCAGATCGTGCCTGAACGAGGAGGGTTCAGTCTATCTGCCAGTGAGACTCACTTGTTTTCAGCCGATTCAAAATGGCGTCTTGTCATGAGGTTGATCAAGGACTTATAACACCTCTCTGCCAGCATAAAGGTCACCTGACCAAGCTCAACGGTGAAGAGGTAGAAGGTCCTTGACGGGGCGTGATCAGGCGTACGAGGAATCTCTTGAACGGTTATAAAATTCTCAGCAAACATCTGATACACAAGCTCCTTGGCTTCTTTGGCAGGAATTAAAGCAAAGTTTTCAATCTGAAATACAAATAATATTAAACTGTATCAGATTTTTGAATTATATTAAATGTAATTGTATTAACTGGGCCCCTCTTATAAACAGTTATGAGAGATCTGGATTGATAAAAAGTCCTCCAATCAACTTGCAAAACTCCTATCTTTCAATATTCTTTCATTCTTTAATCATAATTTTATTTAATTACAAAAATGCCTTTTCCCTCATAGTGCGGTATGGTATGTAATCCTGTAGGATTTTTTTGCCAAAGTTGATTTTTTGTTTGTTGCTGTTTTGGCTTCAAAAGGGTCCCAATTGGCCAAAAATGATGGGGATCAAATTTTCAGACCCCTCCTTCATTTCCTGGGGGGTCCATATTGGGCGCCAAAATGGCATATATAACGCGCAATAGGGAAATTTGGTGTCTTCGGGAAAATTTGAACCCCATCAATTTCTAATAGCTTGGACCCCAATGAATCCAAAAATGCAAAAAAAAAATCAACTTAATTTGGCACAAAAATCCTACAGGAGCCGTTTCAGTGACATACCGTACCACACTATCAGGGCAGTAATTAAGATACACAAATATTTTGGAGAGCATGTTCTTAAAATCACTCAGTCATAACTATTTTCACTCTGACATTTCTTTTAGTCAATTTTTTCTGTTGGAACAACTAATATGAATGTTGGAAAGTGTTCAAGGCACTCAAATGTTACCCTAACTACCGTATTTGCCGGCGTAAAGGCCGCAGTATTTTTGGAAGAGAAAATATAAAAAAGTCGGGGTGCGGCCTTTACGACGAAAGAGTAAAAAAAAAAAAAACGAAAGTCAAAACCAACACGAATTTGCACGTACAGTAAACAGTAAATACAGTAAAATAACAATACCACTATGGTACAGGACATTTCCAAACATCTTACCGACAATTTTATCTTGCATTGTTGACATGAAGATGAAAATAAACATCCTAACACAACATTTGCCGATAGATCTTGATCTAAGTTCGTGCCAATGCATTGCAAAGGTAAAGGAAGGGACAGTCAACGGAGCTGCCGCGAACATCCATCCGAAGTCGCCATTTTGTTTTTCCATTTCATGCAGTTTCGCATTACACCCTACATTGTGGTAGGGGTATATCGGACACCAAATCTGCCAGCGATCACTTTTTTAGCTAAACTTCCGGTAAATTATAAGAATATGGATGAATTTGGTATCAGTTTGTAAAAAAAATACAGTGTTTTCGAGAAAATTATAATTATTTTGTTTTGTCCGTTTGTTTTTTCAAAGTTAGGGGTGCGGCCTATGCGGCGGTGCGGCCTTATCGCCGGCAAATACGGTAGCTCTAGTTTTAGCTACATGTAGGTTCTTCCCGGAACCCATTTAACACCTGAGTGGAGAGTGGCAAATATAGGTTAATGTCTTTAAAAGGGATATATGGCTCAACCCACAACCTTCACATCTCCAGTCAAATGATTAAACCACTCGACTAAAACACCTCCCACTAAAGAAATTGAATATATATATACTTTTAAAAAATCACCTGCTTTTGCTCCAAATATTTCTTCTTGAGAAGTGTCTTGAAGATGCGGAAGCTCTTGGAGCCGAATCTCTCCTGGACCACAGACTCTATGTTTGCTGTACAAATGACCCGAGAAGCCTGCTCCAAGTCTATCTCATACATTCCACCGCCTGCATCTCCATACTTCTTTACTATCATCGTCTGACGAAAGGGAGATCAAGAAAAAAGGAAAAGTATAAACAGAAAGCAATGAAAAGTAAGCATTCATCTGTTGGTTTTTTTTTATTCTAGAATATATAAGTACACAACTGACTGATGGGACAGACTTATTTTGTTATTTTTGCTGCTATTGTTATTATTACTATCATTATTACTACAACTACATATACTACTACTACTATTACTACTACTACTCCTACTACTACTACTAGCATTATATCATCATCTTTACTACTCTGGTGGCAATGTTACCAAATGGCTATATGGAGTAGAAAATGACTGAACTTTAATAATATGAATTTCTTTTTTGATAATATCAAAAAAGATATTCATAAGAAGCAAATATGTAACAGCAATAGTTCACAGACTCACACCTAGCCGTGGGTTATCACTTTTTGATTGATTTATTTATTTCTGATATTTATACAGGGTGACACATATCACCAATTTGGTAGTCTTCCATGAGGCCCTGTTTGGTAAGAATAAAACAAATAACAGTAGCGAAAACAAAATACCTGGTAGATAAACACAAGCATATAAACAGGTAATATACAAATTAATTGGTATCCTCATGAAATAACTGACCATTTAAGAAATTATCCTTCATCATTTCCAAGATATATGTGAACCTCTTCCACAGTAGGTATGGCAGGAAAGAATAATGCACACAACTCATTTTATAATTTCATTTATATACCAAATGACAAGATATTAGGCCTCTGATTGGTCAGAAAAATTTCATGTCACAGTTAAATCTATAGCTCCTCTATGATCTTAAAACAGAACAAGACTCCTGGTCTCAGAGTACAGTAACATTTTAAGATCACTTTGAGCAATAGTTTTAACCATGTGCCTCAAAACAGTCACTATCTGTATAACATTGTTTCAAATGGAGTATGTTACAAATGACCTACCTGGTCATCAAGCAATAGTTTCATGTATTGTTCTAGCTGCCTGTTTTCCAGTTTCTTAGGCATCTGTCTTGCAATATCATGGAACGAGAGAGGCTTAGTTTCCCGCGCCATAAAGTCTGTAGTCAGTTCACTCATTCTCAGCATGGTAGCAACCACATCTCCAGCAGACTGCCAACACAGAGAGGAATTGATTTAATTCATGAAATATGATACTCTTCTGCTTTGGTTCAATAGAGATCACATGTATCCATGTAGGATTATCAAAGATATTGATTGTGGAGAGACGATAGAGGAATAGAAGAAAGCAATAACTTAGAAAGCCTACATGCTTTGGAAGTATCTGTTAGTATAAAAATCTCTTGAATCCTAGCCTTTTTTTAAGGGGAAGCAAATGTTCTGGAATTTTTTCAATTCATATATGCCTTTAACAATGTAACACCACTATTTAATCATAAAACAATTTAAACTTTAAGGATTCACTCTGATTAAAGTATCAATCACCTGAGAGATTTTTGTGTATAGGAAGAATGAACTGTACTAATTCAAAGACATCATTACAATCAAAATATCATTCTGATGGGGCATATATATATATAATGAGCATGTAAATAAAATAAATCATCAGTGCTACAGAGAGTAAATTATATCTAACCTTGTCTATTCTCTGTGTTATAGCCGAGATGATATCTTGATCTCTGAAATAACGATGAAAACGTTCAAAATTCACTTTCCAGTAGATTCCATCATCAAGAGGCACCTACACAAAACCATGAAAGAAAATATATTAATATTCTACAACACATGTGGTTAGACTCTCAAGGTCAGTATTACTACTAATTCTACTAATAATAATACTACTAGTAAAGGATTTCCTGTCCATTTTAATGACATTGCTTTTAAAAATGTTTCCAGTTTTACAAATCTGAGATGCATGGTCCTACATGTTATCAGTGTCTGTGATATTATGTAATATTGAAGCCCTAACAAAGTTGCGCTTCAAAATGATCATGAAGTGCCTAAAAAAAGAAAAATCGTTGAGTGACCGGTTTTACCATACTCATTTTCCCCAATAGACTGCAGCGTTATAGAAACTGTTGGGAAATATCGGGATAATCAGACAGGCGATTGGCTTGTAAAGGACATGGGATTCCTGACTGACCAAAAGGTTTATAACTATGATTGCAGCATGGGCTTAATCTAGGATGTTGTTTAGAATCTGAGACAAAGATACCCAATCCCATTAACAATTTTTCTCACAATTTCATGGTGCACTTCAATTTCATCCCGAGAATCTGGCAAGGTGCAAATGTCAAAGTTGATTTTGTTATTTATAATTCACTTTAATCAATGGTCAATCAACTTTAGCATCTGTCCATTCAATTTTGTCAGACTTCATTCAAATTCGTCTTACCTGACGGTTCGCTGCAGAATGAAATGATAAAATTGTCTTTGTGCACTTCACGTTTGTTTCATTCAAATTAGTCAAAATTGGCAAAATTAGGAAAAATTGATTTGTGCAATGGTAGGTTGGCAGCGAGAGATGATGAATTTGATTTGACGTGGTTGCAATTGGATTCATATTGATGAAATTAAATGGACAAAGAAGAAATTAACATGGTGATGTGCAAGATCACAAAGTTTCGGAACGAAATTGAATAAAGAAAATATAAAATTGAATGAAACTAGATGGAACTTTGACTGCGCGCAGTCGAAATGATGCCTCCGTCATAGAGCAATTTTACAAACCAAAACAGAAGAAATTTTTCAAATTCAAGTTCAATTGTAATCCATTAACAGGTTCTCAGAATATCGTGATTACAAGCAATTTCTCATATACATAAATGACCCTTTGATCTTTGACCACAAGACCCTAACATCTACTCAGTTCATTGGCTCTGCAAGATGTCCCGAGTTAAATAGTCATCCATCTGTCAGTTCTAATGAGAATGCGTTCACAAGCTATTTTTGCATACATAATGAGCACATGACCTTTGACCTCATGACCCAAGAATCTACTCAGTTCATTGGCTCTGCAAGATACATACATGATCTAAGTTTGGGAGGAATCCATCAATCTGTTCTAATGATAATGCGATCACAAGCTATTTTTGCATGCATAATGAGCCGCACGACCTTTGACCTTGACCTCATGACCCCCCAATTTAATCAGTTCATCGGCTCTGCAAGTAACATACATGACCTAAGTTTGGCAGGAATCCATCAATCGGTTCTTGAGATAACGCGATCACGAGCTGTTTCAGCATACATAATGAGCCCTTTGACCTTTGACCTCGTGACCCCAAAATCTAATCAGTTCATCAGCTCTGCAAGATACATACATGACCAAAGTTTGGCAGGAATCCATCAATCAGTTCTTCAGATAACGCGATCACGAGCTGTTTTTGCATACATAATGAGCCCTGTGACCTTTGACCTCGTGACCCCAAAATCTAATCAGTTCATCGGCTCTGCAAGATACATACATGACCAATGTTTGGCAGGAATCCATCAATCGGTTCTTCAGATAATGCGATCACGAGAACGGGACGTACGGACGTACGGACGGACGGACGGACAACCCGAAAACATAATGCCTCCGGCTACTTCGTAACGGAGGCATAAAAAGGGTTGAAATGGACAGGAAATCTATATTACTACTACCTGTTGAATATGTAAAATAATGCGAGTTAATGCGTAATGAGCCTCTTGTAGACCTGTGTGATATCACAGGGATGTCTTTTGCACACAGCTACTTTTTTTCTGCCCTAATTAGCAATATATGCGCACATGTAAAATGGCTTTCATTTTGCTGCAGCGGATTTTAGAGGCAGTTTACTGAGTCACGTATGAACAAGCATACCTCTTGATCTGGTTCTGATCCTACAGAAGAACTCCTGGCTCTCTTGCTACTTCTTCCACCATCATTCAAAGGCCTCTTCCTTTTTCCTGTTACTAATAAAACAAATCACAAATCAATCAATCAATCAAATGATATTTGATATAGCGGCTAGAGCGCCTTTTCCTTGCGGTTACAAAGCACTGTACACACCGCTCCACAATGTTTGGGCCACTTATAAACAACTGTTTGTGAAAAAGAGAAAACAAATGACACTTTTAGAATTGCCTGTCATTTTTTAGAGTAGGTAGTAGATATGAGAATACATGTACGTACCATTCCAAAGCTTTGGAACAACCTACCACTAGACCTAATAAAAGCCTTATCTGTTGCTGTCTTCACAGTTTTGTTGAAGACGCATTTGTTTTCAGAAGCTTTTGAGTAGCTTTTGGTGGTGCGTTCGCAAAGTAGCACTGTTAGGATTTTTTTTACCATCACACTGCCGTTATATGAATTGATCTATATGTACATACTGAATATTTATCTCAAAACTTGTTTTATACCAAATACCATGGTTGGTTACACAAAGGTCAGCTTAGGTAACTTGCTCTAAACCCCCTTGCACCAACTGAGAAGGTATTAGTAGGAGATAGAAAAAGAAGCAAGAAAGAGTTTTTATCCATCAATTTGTTTTAAATCAAATCAAGCTCCAGTTAAATTATAAGGATTCTTTCCAAATGTGTACGACAACATGGTGTATATTGCCAAAAATGATGGAAGCTGATCGAATCATTACATCATTATTAAGTATTTGGCATTATCTATGCTTGGGAGGCAAAAAGGGAACTGAATCACTGTAACCCTCTGGTCTCTCCTCCTAACTGATTTGGGGTATGCAGGTAGACTACTACACCGGGGGTTTCCCCCTACTCTTACACGAATAGTGCAGTGGGTTCTTATCGTGCAGAGGTTGTAAAGCTGCCCTTCAAGGGGCCTCCATTTAACCCTTTGCTTACCGGAACCTGGTGGTCCCTGTGTTAAGCCTATGGGACCTATAAAATTGAGTGGTCAAAGGGTTAACTATCCGAGCATCACCTATGATAGAAACATTTTTTTCTTTATTTGTTCTCACCTCCTGCAGTCTCTGGTATCCTATACAGGTCAGCATCGGAGACAGAAAGGTGAGGAATAAGAGGAATTACTTTGCTCTCTTCATCATCTTCAGCACTCCATGATGGTAACCTTTGCAAGAAGTGTGTATTGACAAGGTCAATGAACTTATCTTTGATTGCTGAGGGTTCCAGCTGATTTCCTAAAAAGCAGACAAAAAGCACAAATAATGTTAAAGGATAGTAGGATACCCTAACTTCTTCAAAACAATTTCTTATGTATCCTAGTTTCACTTATTATTTTTTAAATCAAGAATATCTTAAAATAAAACAAAATTGAAATATCTGTTCACACATATGCAAAATTAGGTGTTTTGGCTGTATCAGCATCATGAGCGCTCCAAAGAATATCTTAAGGAAAATTTTAAAAGATCTAAAATGAACCCTGCCTATAGCAGTATCTGTATTATATGTCAAAATTATGTTTGTATTTGAAATGTTTCTCTCAGCATCTTTGCATCTCTATTTTAATTTTGTTTTCCCCTCCACAATTCCAGAAGACAGTGTGAACACCAGAGACCCCTTTCACAAAGGGTTTTGACAACTGACAAAAATCAGTGACAAATCTGCTGATAACCAATCAGAAGCAAGGATTTCACTAGCTTATAACAAAAAAATGTCATTTGTAACTGGTGACAAGTTTTGTGAAATGGGGCCCAGTTTACTCAAGGTTGCATACATCTAACATTGATGAGTCAGAATAAAACTCAACAAAAAAAGAAAGTGGACTCTATTTATAATTAAGATTTTCAAATAAATATTCAAAGGCATTAGGTAGCTTTGCCTCTGATTCTGAACAAAATCCTGGATTTAGCTCATGCTGCAATAACAATTGAACCCTTAGGTCAGAAATGAGTCTCATGACTTTTACAAGCAAATCACATATTTCATTAACAAGATATTTATGATTGGAATTAGAAATTTTTCAACAGTTTTTATTACACTACTGTCTATTTGGGAAAATGAGTATGCCATGGTAAAACCAGTCACTCAAAGATTTTACCTTTTTGAAGCACTTCACGATCATTTTGAACTTTGAAGCACAATTTTTTAGGGCTTCAATATTACACTATATCACAGACACTGATAACATAAAGGGCCATGCATCTCAGATTTTTAAAACTGGAACTTATGTTTGATATATCAAAACAAACAAAGATGAATCCTCTTTAAGATGATATTTTATTGGAATCATACCATCCACGTATGACTGAGCACAGCCATTCAACAATATGGAGTCTCTGAAAAAAATATGCAACTGAAAAATGGGACATCTGGCCATGTTGATGAGCATTTCCCTCTTGTCGGGTTAAATCAAAACTATTAAAAACAAAATCACAAGAAACATAAAAAGGAAAGGCATCTTGACCATACTATGCAGTCTTGAAATTACAGTCGACATCAAGAGATCAATTCTCCTCATCATTTCTCGCTCTCTGTTTTCATTGTAGAACTAGAAAATTTTACACATATTTATTTACATTTGAATGGCTGCTTGCTCTATTTTTGCAATTTTCTTAATCAGATAATCTAACCGGTAAATGAATATGCCCATTCAAGCGTGAAAGTTCAAAACTTGATCTCAATGACGTTTGTAGAGTATAAATTTTCCTACAATTTGATATTTATTGTATTCTTATCTATTGACTGCTAATATGACAATTTTGAACTATAAACAGTGTCCATTTTTTTTTTTTTATCAAGTGTATATTTACCTTCCATTGCTTCTTTCAACCTGACCTTGACCTTTTCAACGACATTGCTCATGAGTATCTCCCCATGATGCAACACCTCCTCTACAATCAGCTCTCCAATGTCACCATAGAGAGTCTTGGCACTGTAGATGTAGCGTGGGTAACGAACGAGCAGTAGAGCCTTCTCAACGTCAGCTGTGTACTCCACCATACCACGCTTGTTCAAGCCATATTTCACAATGTTATGCTGGATTAAGACACATAACGCCTTTTTTACCTGTATTTGGGTGAAAGAGACAAAGTTCATGATTTGGCATCATATAATGTTTTCACATTCTATATTCTAGATCTTTTTAATTTAATTCAGTTTAGTGACTTAAATTTATTATCATGTTTATTTGATAGACGTCTATTTTCCCATTGCATCATTTTGTTGCCAAATTGTGAAAGTATTCATAAATTGAAAATATCGACCTAGAGTAGACCGTACATCAAAATACAAATAGTGACTTGAAGAAGCACTGAAATGTTTGTATTTTTATGTTTGTACTAAGGCTGTGCACAACAGTGTAATGAGGTACCCGAGTACACTCCCAGGCTCACAAGCGAATACTCGAATATTCGGACGCCATGTTTTTTATAATTTTTTATTTTTTTATTTTTTTTATTTTTTTGCCACTACTATACCACTCGGCAGTTACCCAGGTCCCTCGCCGAAAACGCATGCAATTTTACTTCAAGTTGCAGTTGAAGGCGCCGATTTAATAAGAATAATAGCAGTAAACAATGCTGTTTTAAAAACCAAAGATGGCAGAATAATCCATTTTCCTCCAAGTCCAAACAGAAATCTGGACATTTGGTCCCAGTTTCTGAAAGGTGAGTTTGACAGTGCTTGAGTTGGGAAACATTTTTACCGACGGTACCATGCCAGCGGTCGCCGCTCTCCCTGGCACGGGTAAGCGTGGGCCTGGACATTTTTTTTTTTTTTTTTGCGGCCGAATATTCGGGTACGAGAAATCGTACCCGGGTAGTTGTCAACCGTGCGGGTACTCGAGCATTCGACTACCCGTCGCAGCCTTAGTTTGTACTTTACCCACACTGGTACTGTATAACTAAACAGTATGGTTCGAAGTACTTAAAGGAAACCTCACAACAAAGAATAAGTGTAAAATCCTAGCTGAATGGGTACAAATTATATTTGACTAAAAACTATTTTTGGGTCAAAGTTATATTTGGCGAAAAATATATGACAGGGGAAATTGTAACTAATCCATTCAAAAATACTAACATATTATAGCATATGAAAAATCTATGTATTTATGAGAAGCCTTCATTCCAGAAGAACACCAACTTATTTATGCAATTTATTTGCATTCTGGCGATTGCAGTATAAAGGATTAATAATAATACCAGGTGAATGAAACACCACACACACCTGAAAAGGGAATATCCATAAATTTAAATACATAAAAAAGTCATGTAATTAAACGATGCATGTCAAGTTATCAAGAAATTTACTGAGAATGTTTACATTATTCTTGTTTTATAACTCTCTCAGTCTTACGAGTCATACACTTTGGAGGGGAATCTTGTATTAATGGGCAAGAATACCACAAGAATACTAGTTTCAATTTTACTACAACTTTGTACAAGAATACATCTCTGTCTCTCACTTAGACTTAGTCGTCTCATTCAGTCATTGCATTGACAGACACAGACCGAATTTTCTGTCTCTTTCGTTCGTTAGCCTCTTATTGGGGTAGGGTCGGCCGGCTCTCTCTTTAGAGACGGAAACCGTCTATACACATTCCCTTGATAACGCCACGGCCATTTCAGGTCGTAGCGTTTTGCCCCCAAAATGTCATTTTACCTCGTGTATATTCAAATGTAAATTAGGCCTAGGCTATAATACATCGGTTCCACTTACTAACTTGACTGAAATAATCCGTTTAATGGTCCCTTTTAAGGAAATTATGGGTCAAAATCGACATCCATGTTGAAAATCTTGCAAGCCGTGTTAAACTCTCGCTGCCGGAGTCATCTAAATCAATCTCATCCCTTCTAGTCTACGCCGAAGGCAAAATGATTATGAAGGAAAAACTGTGCGCCATCTACACGTTCGTAATGGCGTTATCACAGTTTTTCCTTCATAATTATTTTTGCCTTCGGCGTAGACTAGAAGGGATGAGATTGATTTAGATGACTCCGGCAGCGAGAGTTTAACACGGCTTGCAAGATTTTCAACATGAATGTCGATTTTGACCCATAATTTCCTTAAAAGGGACCATTAAACGGATTATTTCAATCAAGTTAGTAAGTGGAACCGATGTATTATAGCCTAGGCCTAATTTACATTTGAATATACACGAGGTAAAATGACATTTTGGGGGATTTTGGGGGCAAAACGCTATGACCTGAAATGGCCGTGGCGTTATCAAGGAAATGTGTATAGACGGTTTCCGTCTCTAAAGAGAGAGCCGGCCGACCCTACCCCAATAAGAGGCTAACGAACGAAAGAGACAGAAAATTCGGTCTATGACAGACACTGATCTCATTCAGTCTCAGGCTGCGTTCATGCTTAAATTTTGAAGGCAGAATGAGCGATCTGAAACGCTCATCGTAAACGCTCATCGTGATCGCAGTTCCACGATGTACTGTTCATGCTTACTTCTCTGGCTCCCCCAGGCAATTCTCAGTGTGTGGCCTTAATTGGTCTTCCAGCTGGATTCGCAAACCTTCACTGTGCATGCTACGTAGACCCACTAGAGGTCAGTGCGTTGACCCCATTTAAACGCATTTACAAATTGTAAACGCATCTTTTTGTGAGTTTACGATCGGCGATCGTGATCGCCGTTTTTTCGGTGATTCTACAAAAGTGAGCATGAACGCAATCGTGTTTTAAACTAAACGCGTAACAGATGCCTGATTCTGGCCGTCAAAATCAAGCATGAACGCGCCCTCAGACTCTCTCTCACTTCTCAGTCTCAGCTCAGAATAACTAGCTATTTCTTGGGTTGAGCCATGGGATCCTATTCAGGACCTCATGAATAAGAAGGGGTGCCTCACTGCCCTGCCTCCCACACAATTAGGGCCTAACAGCTGCAGCATGCTCCCCGGCCCCCCCCCCCCTTTTTTTTAAACCTTCACTAACAAAAAAAATTATACGTGGGACTAGACCTAGATCTATACTAATAAAGCCCACTAACAGCCCACCGACCATGTACCTGTTCTGGCTTTTCCTTTACGGTAGACACTACACTCCGGAAATTATTCGATCCATTTTTAAGGAGATGTGTGCAAATTTTCTCCACAACATCTCCGAAATGCTCTTGAACTAGAAGAGAAACCAACTTTAGTTGAAGAGACGACATTATTGCTGAGACTTTCAATGATTTTTTTTTTTACGCAAATCGTATTAACGTCTTTATTGTATGTATGAACGGACAAACGATAAATGAAAAATACATGTGATAATAATTATGTGCGCCAAGCCTGTGTAAATTGAGTGCATGTATTGTTCAATTTGTACCGATTTGAAAACGTGGATTAAGCACTTTATATTTCTAAATGCATTTTATTTTGAAAAATATTTTAAATATATGAATTTTATTTCATTTTGAGGTTCAATCGTAAGATTCGAAGAAGAAAAAAGGTTATTTGTAATTAGTATAAAACCGATCAATACCACAAGTCCACAACGCTTTGTACTTTAATAGACCATTTTCGTAATGTAACCAAATTTAATGCACAAGTGTTTGTGAAGTGCCTCAATACAAATTATTTCATTCACCTGATAAGAATATAGTAATTCAATAGTCAGAATGCAATGCATATATCAAGTGTTACTAGGTAGGTCAAGTCATAATGGTTGTCCAACCTGTCAACAACTAATGTATGCAGTTTGAATAATGTCTATTGAGATACAATTTTTTGTAGCAGATGAATGAAATAATTTGTATTGAGCCACTTCGCAAAGACTTATGCATTAAATTTGGTTACATTACGAAAATGGCCTTATATTGTTCGGCTTTGAATAGAGAGCCCCTTTGACCTACATTACCATTAATTAATTCGAAATATACTAAGCTAAAGCAGATGCGCCCCTTTTCCTTTGTAAGAACTGCCCCTTCTAATAGGTGCTCCTTTATCTTTTGAAAAGTGCACCCCCCCCCCCCATATTTCACTCAGTCTCATAAATATCTCTTTTCCCCTCTGATAAATGCCAATATAAAATCTGATAAGTGCCTCTTTTCCTGCGACAACTTCCCCTTTTCCTTTGCAATAAATGCATGTTCACCGTCATTTCCATAAGTGTCCTTTTTTCTCTGGTGCCCCATTTCAGGTACGAAAAGTACGCCTTACCACCTTTGAGAAGTGCCCCCTTCACCTCTGATGATTACCCTATTCAAATCTGACAGTTGCACATTTTACTTCGACAGTTTTCCTTTGTAACTATTGCCCCCTTTTGCTCGCTAGCTTTGCTCGTTCAAAAATTGATATTCAGGCCATCAAACCCAACTGCAAAGTATAGCAGTATTTTTTACATTGTGTACCACATAAAGAGAGAAACAAATATTGATGTCATCCTTGGTAGCAGGCGCGTACGCAGGGGGGGGTGTTTGGGGGGTTAAACACCCCCCTTTGGTATTTTTACATGTGTAAACCCCCCTAAACAAAAAAAAAATTACCTCCATGGCTGACCTAAGAAAGGTGACCTTACCCCCCCCCCCCAACAGAGCAAAATGTCAAATTTTCAACAAAAAAAAAATGTCCTCTTACCCCCCCCCCCCCCCCCCCCCCCCCCCCACTGAGCGACTTTTCGGCTGGCTGAGTCGTTGCGATTTTTTTTTGGACTCCCTAAAAAAAAAAAGTGTCCGCTTCCCCCCCCCCCCCCCCCCCCCACTGAACGACTTTTTGGCCGGCGCAATTTTCAAATTTTCCTGAGTCGTTGCGAAATTTTGGACCAGATTTTAAAACCCCCCCCCCCTTGAAAAAATCCTGCGTACGCCACTGCTTGGTAGTGTTATCACAATCTTGACAGTGTAATCTAAAAATGGTGTATGTTCACTTTGAAGTTTCCCTTTGGCTTTGTAGGTGCCCCTTTTTTTCCAGAGAGTGCCCTTTTTGTTGGTGCCCCCCACAGTCCACCGCCCCTGGGCTAAAGTTTGAAAATGTTCACCGTCCGTCGGGGCACATGCCTACAAGTTCCTTATAGATTTAATCATAGGGCCAAGATCCAGTGTACAAAGAATGAATGCCTTTTTTTTTTCTTCTTTTTTTTAAATCTCATTTTTGAACCTTTGATTAATCCATGAAATTTGTTTTTCCCTTCCACAGGGTTCTTTATTTTCAAAACAGTATATCCATACATTATATACAAATAATTAAAGCAATAATGTAGTGCACAATGATTTCCATACACGATTGTAATCATCACGACCGAAAACTTTGCCCGCAGAAAAAAAAATTATGACGAAACTAGTATTTTAGATATTTAAGAAAATACCTAACAAAAAATACATGATCATAGTCGTGTTGGCACATTTCCAACACTCTCAAAATATTTTTTAATTTTCTAATTCATGAAAGAGCCTAATCGAGCGAGCTAGCTATTTTAGGTTCAGTCTCTCAACTTCTATCCAACTCTTGATCAGACCAAGATTCACGGACACAGTAAACAGTAATTTAAAGTTTCCTGTCTTCCCCCCCCCCCCCCCCCTCTCCACTGCCTCTTGTGTCTCCGAACGCTTATATTTATTTGTTATTTTCTAGTTTGTGGACACCGTATATGAGTATTCAGACGACTAGGATTCTATGTTCAGACATGTGGTACGAGAGAAAATCCAGTCGTTTTGTATTATATTTGACCGTAAGTTAGGAGGACACATGCGCTCTTTTTATTTATTTTCAAATAGACGAATGCGAAAAGTCTAAGCGCCTTATCAGCTGATTTACCTAACACCATCCAATTCAACAACACTCTTCCCGAAATCCATTATTAATACTATTTTGTAAGGTGTACCGTTAGTTCTAAGTTTAGAATTTCAGTCAGAATAATGGATTCTATAACTCGAGATAGCACAGCCCCTCGGGATCAGTTATTAGCAGAGCTTCATCGCTGTGCAGGTCTAGGCGAGACCGCTCATGTTTCTCGAATGGTGCAAGGGATGAAGTCCGGGTTGGATGGTCGCAATGAGCAGGGATGGACAGGTCTCATGCTGGCTGCTAGAAATGGACACGCTGATGTGGTCAAGCTACTGCTACAAAATGGGTAAGCATGCATACCTTGTATTAAAGGCATATCGAATACATTAACTGATATTAGTATTCAACAAACAAAGCAACAACAAAAATGATAATATTAAATTGATAATGATATGATTGATGCATGATGATAATCGATGTAGGCCCTAGAATCTATACGAATACTGAAATAGTAAATTTTGAATAGGTCTAGGTCTAGTCTCTAGATCTAGACCTATATAATATTAATAATAATGATAGATGATGAAAATCCTATTAATAATAATGATAGTTGATGAAAATAATCATGATTTAGATAATTATGATGATAATGATAATTAGATTCTAGGACTAGACCCAATCAACATTTTCTTCATCATTAGTGTTTTAGATCTTTGTGACAGGATATTAAAGGGTTCATAGCCCACATGCATGAAATAAATGTACTTTTCTTTTTTCTTTCGCTATAATTATACAGGTGCGATCCATTCTTACCCAATAAATCAGGCCAGAATTCTTTGGATATAGCTGAGTTCTGGGACCATACAGAGGTCATCAGTCTTCTGAAAAATGACCCCCAAATCAAGAAAGTGGCCGACAAGGAACTGATCAACTTCTTCGGTCTCAACCCTCTTGATCGCCAGAGTCACCAAAGAACCAACAAACAGTGGTTAGAAGATGCGATGCAAGCCCCTACAACTACCTTCGTCCTTTACAGAGACTTGAATCCATACATCATCCCTTCTGAAGACAGCAATGGAACATTCCAATATAACCTTGCTGCCTTCTCCTATGCAGAAATCTCATTTGCCTTGAAGGAGGAAGCTTCCATTATATTTCTAGGGGTAGGGTCACTCCACATTTCAATGAAAAAAAAAGGAAATGCCCAAGAGAAGAGTTCTGAAGAGGGCGCTTGGTTTGCTTTAGACGTTGCCAGTATTCCTTCAGAAGATCTACAGAAAATCAAGCCCGAGGCAGAGTTATTGCCCAAGAGGAATCGCATGGCTATCATGTTACTGAGGGCAGAAGATGCTGGAATCATTGCTCTGGGCAAGTCCGTGCTGGCCTGGCATGACAGGTATAAGTTCTGCCCAACCTGCGGTGCACCTACTACCATAGCAGAGGCAGGATATAAACTTGTCTGCACAAAAGAAGGTGATAAGCTCTTTTCATACCAGCGACTTCTTTAATACTGGCATTACAATTCATTTTCCATTTAGTGATAATGGTACAGTTAAACCTGTCTACAGCGACCGCCCAAGGAAACAAAAAGTGTGCTTGTTGTACACAGGTGGTCTTTGTAGACAGGTGGTCACCAAAGCAGGTTTGACTGCATCAGGTGAACTGTAAGCATAAAAGAAAATTGAATTTAACACTGGTAAAAAAAAAGTGCCTAACAAGGCTACCAGGATAAGGACTAGTGATACAAGTATAATGATAATAAATATGTGTCTAAAGTAGACCATCTAATTGAGATTCCATGTATGTATGCGATACCTAAACACCCCGGCCCCCCCCCCCCCCACTAAGTGTTATTTAGGGTACGCATATGCGTGTTCCAAGCGACCCCCCCCCCCTTTCAGCAAAAGTCCGGTGTGTAAAGTCAATACGGGTTGACCTTTTTCTTTTGTTATACAAGCCTTTTACAGCACCCCCCCCCCCCCCTTTTCAGCAAAAGTCCAGTGTGTAAAGTCAATACGGGTCGACCTTTTTCTTTTGTTATGAAAGGATATTTTGGTAGCATGGGGTCCGTCCGTTCTCGGAGTGGGGGGGCCGGGCTAAACACCTGACTATCTAAACAAGTTTGATTGGAATAAACAATAATTTGATTAGTAGATGAAAATTAGTGATTGAAATAATTTCATGTGCATACATATATATCTAAAGATAAAATTGACAAGAGTAATGGAACCACAGTCTTTGAAGATATTTATCACCCAAGTTATTCCTCAATAATCATGCTACAAGTACAATCTTGTACCTATTGTTTAATTCCCTCAAGTTCTCATGAAATGTTCATACTGTTGCATTCTTTTTATTGGTTATTTTATTGGTTTTTATCTTCTCAGGCTGTAGAAGTCTTCAAGGTGTTCATAACACCTGCTACCCCCGCCTAGACCCTGTGGTAATCATGCTTGTAGTCTCAGAGGATGGTAAGAGTGCTTTATTAGGAAGGAAGAAAGGCTTTCCAGGAAAGATGTACTCTTGCTTGGCAGGCTTCATGGAACCAGGTAGGTTCATCACCATTAAGCCTCCTTCACACATTAAAGCCATCGCTTAACAATATTAAATCTGAGATGCATACCGGTAGCCCTACATTGTATCAGTGTCTGGAAATGGTGTAATATTGAAACCCTACCAAATGATCATGAAGTGTCTCAAAAAAGTAAAAAAATCTTTGAGTGACTGGTTTTACCATACTCATTTCCCCCAATATACTGTAGTGTTAAAAAAAAATGTTGGGAAAACAGTTTTTGAAATTTCGAATTCCAATCATAAATATCTTGATAATCAGACAGGCGATCGGCTTGTAGACGTCATGGAATTCCAGACTGACCTAAAGGTTCATAATTATGATTGCAGCATGAGCTCAATCCAGGATTTTGTTTAGAATCTGAGACAAAGATACCCAATCCCTTCAATAATAGCAGTTGTGTGATGTGATCAAAGGGTGCTCTGACATAATATACTGAAGCGACAATTTCCATGGGCAATATCATGTGAAAGGTATAGGGATAGGAGTAGGTTTGCAATTAGGTTTTAGGCTAGGGTTAGGCCTAGCCTTAGTTTTAAGTATAGTGTTTAGTCCAGTGTTGAATTTGGTCAGTGTAGGATGTTGATTGCGAAGATTCTAATGTTAAAGATAAACTTTAGTACTGGTAATGCGATTGCATTGTGAAAGAAAAGGTGTGGAAAGGATCAGAAACAGTTGATCATGTAGCATGTAAGTATTGGTGTGCACTGCAAGGTTCTGGAGTCATCAAAATCATAATAAATTTGACCGAGTCTTGGTAAAGTAACAAGCACATACACAGAAAGCTATATATGGGACAACACACATGGTGTCGGGGCTGGTACTACCTTGATTCCTTGTCTTTCTATGCTCATTACTCAGCCAGTATACATTTTCTTCCAAAATTGTTTGGCACATGTCATTTATTTGTAATCTTGAACATTCAGTGTAAGTTTCGTTTGATTCTGTGAGAAATAATTTTCTTTTTTTTACCAGAACTCAAGTTTATCTTTAATGTTAATCATCGTTTATGACTAGGTGAGACTATTGAGGATGCTGTGAGGCGCGAGACCAAAGAAGAGAGCGGGATCATCGTAGGCAAGGTCCAATACCACTCCTCCCAGCCATGGCCGATGCCTTCCCAGCTCATGATAGGATGTATCGCCAAGGCAACCTCCTCCAAGATCACCGTAGATGAAGACGAGCTGGTGGATGCTCGTTGGTTTACTCGACATGATGTGATTGAGATGCTCGGGTCGTCGGGTGGTTCGGGGTCTTCCGGGGGAGGTATGTTTGTACCTCCCGGGGCAGCCATAGCCCATCAATTACTTAAACACTGGGCCAAGATGTCTCCAAACCTCTGATCGATTCCTACATTCCTCTACCAAAAATAAGGTTTCTTGAAATAAGTATTTTTTTGTCCATCTGTGTACCCCACTAGCTCGTTGTTATACTCAAGAATCATTTGATCTTTTAAATACAGTCATAGAAATGAGTGCATAGAACCTTTCGATTCGGTGCTAGTATGCTTTATCGAGTAGTACAGGCATACTGAAGCTTTTCATCTTGCACTCATAAAGATTGATTTGATTTTCTGTTCATTCTTCCATTTTCCTCTAATAAGTGTAAGATGAAACAGTTCAGACCGTCTGTATTTAAAGCCATTCCTCTATGTTTAAATATAATCCTTTTATGTCATGCTCAATGGATACAAAATTACCAATGATAGGTTATATCAAATTCTTTCTCAGTACTTATATTACTACTACAATCATTATAGAACTTCCGAACCACTCTGAATTTACCAGAATTACTTGCAGTTTGATGTGTTATGAACTGTTGAGACTTGGGGCTTATTAGGTCAAAGGTCACCAGTGTCAATTTATACATGTAAGTATAGTATTTTATTCACAAGATCTGTAGATGCTAAATTTGTTTGGCAATGATACAGTACAATATTTATAGATGGAACCTTCTTGATAGTATGTTGTATTTTCTAGATATCTGTGAGCCCCATCCTTCTTTTATCATTTGCTATTGTCTCATTTTAATGTCATGTGCTACATCAAGAATTTAATTTTAAAATATCAAAACCCATCATCGGATCACTACTTTTTGTAATTGTTGTAAGTGAGATATTAGTAAGAGAGCTATATCCTCAGCCTTTTTACCTAGCTGTGTTGACTTACGTTAATGTACACATTAGTACTAAGTACTACATGTACAAGCTCAACAAACTTCAAAAGATGATCAAATAATAATGTACAATTTGAGAAAGAAAAGGTTACAAATATTGGAGAAAACATTATGCAAGAAAAACAGAATTTGCTGCATGCATTTCAAAACAAAACAGTGCCCTCACTGCGTTGGGGTAAGCCGTGATTTGTTCAATTATTTATCATGTGTGTATAAAACGTATTGTAATGCCAGTGATATTAATTAATTCTGATTGATAATATTTTCATTCTAAACAATTTTTCCAGATATGCGTTTCTGGAAAAATTGTTTAGAATGAAAATACATGTCTCCTTTCACTTTGTAGTAAAATGAAATGCCTATTTGTATTCAGGGATTATCATTTGATCAAATGTAATTATCAAGTGCAATCAATAGTTTCAATTTTTATGATGAATTGAATTTGTCATATATGTAATTCTTTGAATTGTTATGTATATGAATATAGTTTTTATATTATACATATTCAAAGATCTCAATAAATCATGAAATTGAACTTGCTATAGCATGCCTGTCATCTGAGTCCTTCATGATTTTCGATTATTTTTTTTTAGGCTTTCATAAGTTATCTGCTTTGCTTTTACTATCATTTTATAATTTATATGTTTTTACCATAATTTCAAAAGTAAAATCTTTACTAATCCGAGTAGGTACTTGGAATCATACATTCCAAGTACTCATTAATAACAATGGCCAACATGTAAACATACACATAAATCAGCAGACAATTACCCATGTAGCAGGGAGACAGGTCTTAAAAAGGACAGTCCATCCTGATATTAACTTGGTTTAAATAGAAGCAGTTGAGTTGCCAATTTGTGTTTGATCGGGTACAACTTTTAACAAATTAAAAAACTTTCTTAATATTTAACAGATTTTCCTCAAACCTTCACTGATCAATGTCTCACTTTTTTTTCTTCTCACTTTTAATTAAACAAAGTTGCTATCAGGTTCGAATTCCCTAATCAGAATTGATCAGTTTGTACTTCATAGAAGACCAGCTGAATTCTTTCTCGTTAACGAGTTTGGTTGGAGGTCTAGGCACTAGGGGGTGTCATGCTGTACTTGGACGCTTGCTGACTATAGGGTCTGCGAAATGGTTTGATCTCCTCTTTAATATTTTAAAAACGTACTTCAAGTAGAAGATGTAAATGCGGGGGAGAGATAAGAATGAAAGAGTGTTTGAGAAAAGATGCCGATAGCCAGCCCTCCCTCGTCAAGCGACGCCCATCGAATGACACATTAGTCATTCCTCGAACTCTCCATGACACGACTTAAAAGTGCATGTTTTTGTGTGTGGTTTGGGGGCTGACAAGGAAATTAGTTGACCGAACATGAACGGGGTTCCTGAGGACAGGAATGTTAAGTTTCCCCTGTCGCATGCACACTTCTACCTTGTTTTACTCCTTCTATACGAACGGGATCCAATGAAATTGTTAGTCGTATTTGTATCTGTATGTACTCTTATTTTCTCCCAAAATGAGCTCCTGCTCGAAAGAAAGGTTTATTCATATTTCTTAGCCTAGATGGCATACGCCAGCATTGGATACAGGCGCGCATCTAGGATTTGTAAAGAGAGGGCACAATACTCCCCCCCCCCCTTTAAAAAAAGGTCTTCACGTCAAACGGGGTAACACATACCTGGGCCCCGTTTCACAAAACTTGTCATCAGAGACAAATGACAGTTTTTTGTTATACTGAAATCCTTGCTTCTGAGTGGTTATCAGTAGATATGTCACTGGTTTTTGTCATTTGTCATTGAAAAAAGGCTTTGTGAAACACCCCCTGGAGTTATATTCCACTTGTGTTTCAAGGGGACACGGGAAGGTTGACTACCTCCCCCACCCTACCCCTAAAGGCTGCCTGTGCGGGATTTGCCTCTTCATGTGGGGTTCATCTGTTTTTCTTCACTGTAGGTTTAACTTTAACTTTAAAGCTGGGATTTAAACCGAGTCTGAAGGGGTGTGATGATGAAAATGTAGTTATTGATCTTTATGATGAATCATCGCAATTCAGGGTTTACTGACACGGCTAAAAAAAACGGGTCTGTGGTTAAATGTAAAGCGGAGTTCAGCTGGTAAAGGATTTTATGAATACGTGAAAGTCTACATATCTCTAGTAGTTGAACCCTATTTGATCTTTTGATTTGGGTTCAAAAGGCAAGCATTCAAGTGAGGATATAATTCAAAACCAAATAATAATATCGGTGACAGCCTGACAGGGATTTCTAGGAGTCCGACCGTAAAACATTAGGCCTATTTATCTTGCTAGGGAAAAAATATATATTATAACGTTAAAAATCTAATTAACGAAAGACAGTTTTCTCTTAAATATAAAATAATATTGAAAAGAACCATAATCGAAAATGCAGAGGTATATATTACATGTATCATCAACATCAAATATAGACTAGTAATCTGAGCTGCGAGGAGAAAAAATTGTTTGGAAAAACCCGTGTCCAGAGTAGCTTTATAAGGTACCCTGTTGTCAAGTGAATAGCGCCATCAGTTAAATCTATGGAGAAGAACATCAATTATTGCCATTCCTCCAATATCACCCAAGACTAAGAATCGGGTAGTCTTGAAACTATTACAGATACTATGCGCCCCCTTTAGCTGCCTATCTGGATATGCTTTGCCATGATTATCAATTTTGGGTGTGATGCGATATGGAAGCGAATAAACTTTACACATTTTAGATAGCTTTGAAAGTTTTTGAGAATTGTAATATTTCGATATGGCCCCAACACTGTAAATCATTTTTCAAAAATTAGACCCCCCCCCCCCTCTTCTTGAACGCTCCTCCCTCCTTCCTTTTCCTTTCTTTTCTACTTTTTTTTTTTCTTCATTTTTTGATTTCTTTCTTTTATTACGATCAAAACAAGTAACAACGAATCATCAACCAGTAAGTGCAATTTCAGAACGCTGTTCTAATCATATCATGAGAAATCATGTTCCGATTACGTAACGCGTCATTGCCATTTTCACACCTTCCAATAGATGACGCATAAGACTATTCAAATGCCTTTTACGGAAGTAGTTGCAATCATGTTTTGACGCTTTTATAGTTACATCGGAAGAAATCATGTTCGGATTACGTAACACGTCATTGCCATTTTCACACCTTCTAATAGATGACGCATAAGACTATTCAAATGCCTTTTACGGAAGTAGTTGCAATCATGTTTTGACGCTTTTATATTTACATCGGAAGAAATCATGTTCGGAGTTACATAACGCGTCATTGACATGTTCACACATTTCAATAAGTGGGGACACATAAAACTATTCAAATTGCCTTTTACGGAAGTACAGGTAGTTGCGATCATGTTTCGACGCTTTTATAATTACATCGGAAGAAATCATGTTCGGAGTTACATAACGCGTCATTGCCATGTTCACACATTCTAATAGGTGACGCATAACTAGGATAAGATTAATCAAATTGCCTTTTTACGACAGTAGTTGCGGTCATGTTTTGTTTCATGTTATCTTTCCTTCTTTCTATCGCTCTTTCTTGATTTAATCGATCTCTTTCTTAGTTTGATTGATTGATTCGTCTATTCATTCACTCATTTATTCATTCAACTATTTTCCATCTCGCGCCCCATCCCTCTCTCTCTCTCTCTCTCTCTCTCTCCCTTCTTTCTCTCTCTCTCTCTCTCTCTCTCTTTCTCTTTCTCCCTTCTCTCTCTCTCTCTCTCTCCCTCTCTCCTGTCCCCACTCCTCTTCTCTCTCTCTCTCTCTCTCTCTCTCTCTCCCTCCTGTCCCCCTCCCCATTCTCTCTCTCTCTCTCTCTATCTCTCTCCATCTCCCTTTCTCTCTTTCTCTCTCACTCTCTCTCGGTCCTCGTTACCCCTCCCATCTGAAATAGATCAAATTTGATTTAAATTATAGATGAAGCCGCCCATGGATGGACCCCATACGTCAGCAGTAGGAAATGAACGCCCTCTCCCACCAAGCAGTGCTGATCGAGTGATAAAGCATTACAGATGGGAATACGTTTCCCCCATGGGCGATACCGGAGTTTTCGTCAGGGGCCCGGGTATCAACAAAATCTCTGACTAGCAAAATGAAAAGTAATCTTACTTTATATCATTTTTTTTTCAAATAAGTGGGGCACCCTATGTACCCCTCCCCCGTATCCCCCAGTAGAAACGTTACTGGTTTCATGCACATCATCTTTCCAGATACGCGGCGTGACATTATCAACTCCCGCTTGATTAAAATCAATGTATTTGTCTCTCTAACCACCAAATTCATCAACCAACAATTTGTTGCTATGATGATACATGTATGTAATACAAATTAGCTAATGATGTTAGATAATGGCAGTCAGTACTGAACAAGATACATGTACATTTACTCTCATATCTTAATTGAGTTCAATGTAACGGTATAAATCATTTTTCGGGTTATGTGCCATCCGTTAGACGGTCCCAAACGCACCCCTTTCCAATCTTCTCATCTCTGAGCAACAGAGGATATTTATCCTGATATTCTAGATCTAAATTTGATATTCCACGTACTAGCCCACGCTTATGTTATTTTCTGTCGGTAAAGAATTTAAAGATAAATGCCTGGCGTACACGTTGAAATAAGGGCTAGATTGATATTGATCTACTACAGATAAGGTGACAGATAGGGGTTCATGCAGGTACGAAGGGGCCTATAATAAGGAAAAGAGAGGGGTAACCCTTGTGCTTCTTGTGTATTCCATCTAGCGTAGTAAATTTATATATTTTATATATATATACAGTGCATCCTAGAATAAACGAAACCGAGAATTTTATTAAACGAATTCATTTTCACTGGCTGCCTGCCGTAGCAACAAACAAAGTTGACTAAAGACTTAAAACTCCGTTTCGATGACGATCAGCCATGCATGAAGTCTGTCGTCTTCTTTGTTTGTTGTTAGGGCAGGCAGGGATTCGTTAAATAAAATTATGGAAATGCAAGCATTACTTTCAACAAACAGAACTTTGTTATTTCTGGCTCATTTTTCCTGATTGAGGTGTCATATGAAAGGGCAGAACATGAACTTTCTAGCAATGTGATTTTCATTTTACAATTCAGATACCATTCGCCAAATGAGTTTTAGGTACCCTTTCTTCAAATTGTTGTTAATTACTCATGCATGAAATATGCATCATAATGAGTTGCATCAAATGAAACAGAAGGATCTAAGCTTTACAAATATGTGTATATATTATTAAGTATAAATGTGATTAAGTTATTATAAAAAAAAATCGATAATTCTCGGTTTCGTTTTTTTCCGGGACGCACTGTATATAATTTATATGTGTGTGTGTGTGTATAATATGTATAATATCGGGAGGGGGAATATAGCAGTTCTAGGTTTGCATGGTCATTATATTCATCCCTACATTCGACCTAAGCACGGTTCATTTTCAGGTCTGGAGACAAATATTTTGATTACATCTCTTTAGAAATATAAGCCATTTTACAGTATGATGTCTTTAAAGATTTTTTTCTGGCAATTG